AGACTTTTTCCGGTCACAAATAAGTCATCAATGTACATGGCTATGATGAGAAGAGAGCCCGTTTCTTCTTTACGATAGACAGAAGGTTCCTTTGAACACTTCTTGAACTCGAGTTGTATGAGAATCTGGTTTAACTTGTTGTTCCATGCTCTTGGAGCTTGTCTTAACTCGTATAATGCTTTGTTAAGCTTGTAGACTTTACCTTCTCCTCCCTTAACTTCAAAACCCTCTAGTTGCATCACATAAACGGCCTCTTTCAATTCACCGTGAAGAAACGCTGTCTTAACGTCAAGATGGAAAATCTCCCAACCATTTGTTACTGCCAAGTTAACAAGAAGGCGTATAGTCTCAATTCGTGCGACTGGGGCAACTTTTTCGAAATCTACTCCATATTGTTGCACATACCATTTGGCGACAAGTCGAGATTTGTGTTTGTTGATACTGCCATCGGAGTTCTTCTTGAGCTTGAATACCCACTTTAAACCAATCGGTTTCACATTCTTCGGATAATCAACAAGATCCCATGTTTTGTTCTTCTCGATGGAATCAATCTCATCTACACAAGCGAGTCTCCATTCTTTTATCTCATTAGCTTCATGAAAGTTCTTTGGTTCATCATTCAAGCTTAGAAGCAGCATTTCTCACGTAGAGATAGACTTTGGCTTATCAAATGTATCAGAGGTGTACTTTATTATATGACTGACATTATTTGATATGTTGGATGTCTTGTTTATGAGCCTATATAAGCTCTTTGCTTCATTATTTTGTATTCAAATATATTTATCAATTAAAGGAATCTTGTTTTGCTTTGAAACTTGTGTTTGAGCAAAATCTGTTCTTACGATCGTAAGTCCTTTTGTGGAATTAGAAGCTTAAGACACTTTTTTTTTGGTTATTGTGGCCAAAATTCTAATAAACAAAGTTATTTGGATTGTAAAGGCACCAAAAGATTAACGTATAAGTTATCTAAACCTATTTTATTTCTAGTATAGGTAAGCTTAAGACTCAACATAGCCTTAATCACATATTTAATTTTTTTTTTCTTGGAGGTACTAACAATTGTTTCAAAAAAATTTAAATGACTAATATTAGATTGGAAGGGAACTATAAAACGTTTTATATAATAAAAACCTAATGATAAATGATAAATTTATGTTTGTGAATTAGATTGAAGCGAATTAAATAGATTTGGGCAAAGTATTGTTTAGAAGTTAATTATTCAAAGATAAATAAAAATAGTATGTTTTAGAGAGAGAAAGCTAGTTATCTTTTTGATATTCCGATTAAAATCGGTTCTTTTCTGGCTAAGTCCAGATTTGTATCTTCTCGTCTTAGTGCGAGTGTTTTGTTTAGCTATTTTAGCTATTTTGTTGTTTGTTTTTACTAGTTTTCTCCCCTTTTGCAGCAGCAAATTCTCTTCTATTCTAGAGGAGATAAACGCCGGAGTTTTGTTCAGAGATTCAAAATTCATCGTTTGCTTGATTCTCTTGCAAAATGAGATAAACCCTCATACCCTTATGAAACCGTATAATCGGTTATGGATGCAGGTTCTCTTTTTGTCTGGGAATCTTGATGAGTGGAATTCAGTGATTGGTATATAACTTATCAGGAGAGCGTGTTTTGCGACTGATTTGATCTCTTGCCAAGCTATGTTTTCCGGTGATCCATAAATTAGATGAATCATGAATCTCTTTTCTAAACCTTCGGAAATTTTAGCAAAAGGTGGTGTTATGGTGAATCGGAGAAAGCAGCTGGAATAGGTGATAACTCTCGTCGGCAAAAAATTCAGCCACCGCTTCAGCTTCTGTGGATGAGTCAATCGACGTCTTCCACTTTCAATTTGCAAAACAAGTAAACAACACGTGTCTTAATACGTGTCTTTTATGAGGCTAGCTTATCTTGCTTTGTAATGTTTTATATTGGGCCTATTTTGAACTTTGCATGTTTTGTATTATTGGACTCTGATCACCATGTAATTTTCCAATTTGGAAATCAATACAATCGACGACAAAAAAAAAAAAAAAAATAAAATAAAAAAAAAAATAAAAAATAGTATGTTTATTTTAGAATTAGAAGAACCAAGTAAATATATTAAGCCTTTTCAAATGTTCTCGAACAAAGATGTTAATATTCAGTGGTCTTCATGCTCTTCTTATCCCACTTCGCCATATTTTGTCATTTGCTCTATATTATTAACTCGTATATTATTCTGTTTCACACATCATTGAGCATTTGTTTCTATTTAGATTATTAATCTACATTTCTCTAACCTAAATAACCTCTTTAATGTAAGTTCTTTTAATTTCCACTCTTGGAGAATTTGTTTTGATTTGAGTTTAAATTTTTTTTACTTTCCTTCTAAATTTTCTACGAAATTATTTTCGTAGAAAAATCCTTAAAAGTTTTTTTTTTATAATTTTTGTAAGATATCATTAATTGTTTTACGATATTTGACGTAGGAAATCGACTATTTTCTTGTAGTATAAGTACGTAACTCAAGACCCTTAATTTCCACTTTTGGAGGATTTGTTTTGATTTGAGTTTAATTTTTTTTTACTTTCCTTCTAAATTTTCTACGAAATTATTTTCATAGAAAAATCCTTATAAGTTTTTTTATAATTTTTGTAAGATATCATTAATTGTTTTTACGATATTTGACGTAGGAAATCGACTATTTTCTTGTAGTATAAGTACGTAACTCAAGACCCTTAAAAACTAGCAACAATACATATTAGAGTATGTGTACAAATAGAATAATATAATAACATTTTTTTATTAAATAACATTATTTCCAGTTAATCCAAACCAACAAGTAGATATTCAAATAATTAAAGGTTAATTAAAATTATAATCAGAATAATCACGTCTGAAACCTGGTATTGGTGTTGGAATGTAATATCTTTTAGAACATCTACATATTGAGGGGCTTCTATTTGAACTTTTAAACCGACAATAACGCATTGAGGTGTTTCTTTTTCTACAAATTTTTTTACAAATTTCTTTACAAAAACGTGAAGCTGGAGAGTCTCCAAGTTGGGTAGGACTCGCTGCTGGATTTGATGTTTTCATTATTACTGATGTACCTATAAAGTTTTACAAAGAAATATGTGACCTTATTGAATAAAAATATTTCAGTAGCAATTAAAATAATTTTAGATAAATTGAGTTGAACTTACATAATGAAACAAGAATTAGAAGAGTTAAAAAGAAAACACTTGTTTTCATTGAAATCTTTCAAAAAGTGAATATACAATACTTTTTTTTTTGGTGCTAATTGTTTAGTTTTTTTTATTTAGTTTTGAAGTTATTTCTAGCTATACAGTGTCATATTTGTATGTGTTTATATATCATATGTAACAAAAGAGTTTATTTTTTGGAGTTAAAATGTTACATAATAGTTAATGTTTCTAATCTCACCGTTTTTGTTTTGTATTATTGAAAGTTAAGTAAACCATTCTCTTATAACGTTTCTAAGAAGTAACATATATTATATATATATATATATATATATATATATATAATTTTGTCATCATTATTAAATATATCATTATTAGTTATAGACTTATAGTTACACATTTGATCATACGTAATAGAATTAGACTTTGGCTAATCAAATATGTCAGAGAGGTACTCTAAGCTAAGAAAATATGTTTAGATTTGGGTTTTCTGGATTTTCAAATATTATCATATAATTATTATGAGAATATTATTTCTATTATTCCTATTAGTTGGAAAGTTGAATTTGGTTGGCATCTTAGTAAGTGTGTTTTACTCAAAGAAGAGTATGTTAATATTTGTTTGGCCTCTCATGGTTCGAGATGTTTCTCCAAAACCGTGTCTATTAGAGAACTTAATTATATTTGTACAACTAAATCTTAATTTATATTCTTACTCAAGATTCAAATCCTAAATATAATGATGGATACTATACAATTGGTGCTCAAATCCTTAATATAATGATGGATACTATACAATTGGTGCGAACCAAAACTTAAAGGTTTTGTAAAGCAAAAAAAAAATAATTAGGTAAATTTTATGAGTTGGTTTTCAAAAGAGAATTATAGGAGACCGATGGACGATTTTAGCCATGCAATTTCGTTTTTTTTTGGTTAATTAGATTTTTTTTTTCAAGTTTTGAAAATTTTACGAAAATTAACCGAAACAAATTTTGGTTGAATTAATTCGGTTCCTCCGTTAGTTTAGTTTTGATGTCAAAATTGAACCTAACTCAAGTTTTGTTTTATTTTTTGAAAATCTTGGTTATTTTAAGATTATTTCGGTTAACTTCAAGTAGCTTAGTTAGTTCGATTCCTCGCCTCGGTTAGTTTGGTTATTAACGAAGATTGGTCTAATTTTTCTACAACTGATATAATCCGGTTATTAAAACAAAAAAGGTTGGGTGAACTGAGAACCTAACCAAACTAACCGAAGTTCTCGATTAACCAAACTAATTTTCATAGATTACCGATCGGTTAATAACCCATAACAGAAACCAAACCAAACAAAAACCAAAATCTCGGTTCAGTTCGGTTGATTATTCCAGCACTAGACTGTCAGTCATTCTAGTGGAAGGAAGATTCGATCCAAATCTTTTCTTCCCTTGACTCGAAATGCTTAAGAGTGTCCAAAACTCATCCAAACCGTGTCGTTTCACAAACACTACCTGAAATCTGAAATGACCAAAAAAAAGTTACTAAACAAATACAGAGAAACCCATCTCAACCTTAATAAAAAACACTCAAAATATAAGAATAGAACACTATACATCACCTGTGAAGATAAATCTATTTCACTAAAATCTTATTGAATGTGTAAAGTGTTTCGTTGTAATAAACAAGTAACATCAAAGAAACGTGTAAAGTGAAAGACAAATTAAAAAAAAATTGAGAAAAGCTTCCAAAGGTTTAACCTTTTCTCACCAGTTTTCACTATGCAATTTGCGAACACACGCATCTCTGTTTCTCCCTTTTCTATTGGATGCTTGCGTTGTTGTGTGCGTCTTCTTAGATGCTTCCTCACTTCTTCACTTTCTTCTTCCCTTCACTCTCTCTCTTCTCTCTAACATTGTTACTTTTTTGTGTGATCTACAACATTTGCTCTCCAACACCCATATCTTATCTCTTTATCCAAAGCCACCAACTTGGTTCAAGATCTGTAAAGGTTCTGGCTTTTCACTGTCAATCGTAGAATCGAGCATACCCAGTTGCCAAAGTTTCGATCTTTGGCATTGTGGGTTAAAGATTTAGGAGTTTAGGGTTTGGTTTTGTGTTGTTAGAAGCAATGGTGGATTCTGGTGGTGGTGGAAGTTGGAGAGATGCGTATAAAGGGATGTCGTCGGATAATGTAAAGGGTTTAGTGTTGGCTTTATCTTCAAGCTTGTTCATTGGTGCTAGCTTCATTGTGAAGAAGAAAGGACTTAAGAAAGCTGGTGCTTCTGGTCTCAGGGCAGGTTTAGTCTCACTCACTCACTACTTCTCTGCTGTTGCTCTCTTTGTGATTTGGGTTTATGAATGTGTCTATTGACCAATCTGTGTCTGCTTCGCTTGAAATGTGTGTTGATATGGAGACTTGAGTGGCAAAAATTGAAACTTTTTTGTGCTATTGATTCAATCTAGAAGGTGTCTGGAACTTTCAAATTTCAATTGCAGCATACTTTTGCAAAGATTCTGGTGGATTTTGTTGTATGGTGTAGAGAACATGGCAAAATCTTCTTTGCAATGATCTCAAGTCTTGTAGATATTGTACAATGTTGGTGTTTTTTTTATTTTGTTGTTTGGCTAAATTTGGTGGTGACACTTGTGTAGGGTCTGGAGGTTATTCATACTTGCTTGAGCCTCTCTGGTGGATAGGCATGATAACAAGTGAGTTTCCTTGATTCGTACCTCAATTTTATTGGTGCTCTGTGGTGTTGGCATTATTGTTCTTGGAAGATTGTGATGACATTTATGGTAGATACAATGTTGCTTGTTTTGTAGTGATTGTGGGGGAAATTGCAAACTTTGCTGCATATGCGTTTGCACCTGCCATTCTAGTTACTCCTCTTGGTGCGCTTAGCATTATTATCAGGTGTGAATAAACTCGTAAGTTTCGCATAACAAAGGCGTTTTCTAGGCTAGGTAGTCTTTTGCTATAGAAATGAATTATATATTTGATAACTTCATAACCTGTTGATTCAAGTTGTATATTGAATTATTCAGCTTTTTATTGTGTTTTTGTTTTTGCAGTGCTTCTCTTGCACATATCATGTTACATGAAAAGTTGCACACTTTCGGGATCCTTGGTTGTGCTTTATGTATAGTTGGTTCAGTAACAATTGTGCTACATGCTCCACAAGAACGAGACATTGAATCCGTTTTAGAAGTATGGAATCTTGCAACAGAACCTGGTACAGACTTCTCTCTCTCCCTTTCAAAGTCCAAACATCTTCTACTAAGATTATATGATAGTTTCGTGACACGCTGTCTGTTCTTTAATAGCTTTTCTCTTCTATGCCGCGGGTGTGGTAGGAGCAGCCATCTTACTTATAGTTCAATTCATACCACTTTATGGGCAGTCCCATGTCATGGTATATATAGGTGTCTGCTCTCTCATAGGATCATTATCGGTACGTGATCACTCTTTAAAACTTACATGTTTATACACTTACCGTGTTGGAGTGACAATATTTATGACTGTTTGCAAACAGGTTATGAGTGTGAAAGCGCTCGGGATAGCATTGAAACTCACTTTTTCTGGAACAAATCAATTAGGATACCCGCAAACATGGGTTTTCACTGCGATAGTTCTTATGTGCGTAATTACACAAATGAACTATCTAAACAAGGTAACAGAAAGTGCCACTTCTACACATTTTTTCTCTGGTAATGTTATGGGATGAAATGCTGGTTTAGGAAAATTCATTTCGGGTTCTCGCCTTTTGTCACTTGCAGGCGCTTGATACTTTCAACACAGCAGTGGTTTCGCCCATATATTATGTTATGTTCACTTCATTGACGATCTTGGCTAGTGTCATCATGTTTAAGGTATTGCCTGTTTCTTTTTCTTCTTTTCTATGTTCTATTTCTAAGTTCCAGTTTACAATTAAACAAAGAATCACTTCAAAATATAAACACTTTGCAAACGCAAACATGATTAATTTGTTTGTTTGTCTGGTGAATTGCAATGCCTAAACAGGATTGGGATGGGCAGAATGGAACACAGATCATGACAGAGTTGTGCGGGTTCGTCACGATCCTATCTGGAACGTTTCTTCTTCACACAACAACGGACATGGTTGATGGCGAGCCTAAAGGAAGTAAGCATTCTAGCTATTTGCAGGATATGTTCATTTCAAGCTTTGTTAATAAATCAATAAGTAACAGCGACCAAAATGCAGATTTACCATCAGAGAGTCATCTGCTTCTGCGACTTCCAAAAATTTCCGAAGACAGCAAAGGGTTTGTACAGGATGGCATCATTCTCAGTCTAAGACGCCAAGAGTCAGCAAAGTCACCACGGCCTGCACGTCAGATCAAGCAACAAGAAGAGGATCTCGAAGCAGCTGTACCACTTCGGAGACAAGAAAGTTCATCACGTGTATAAGGTTTCTTTGCCTATATATATCCGTATATATAATCTATACCTCAAGGGCTTCAGCGCCTTAGTATCATTGTCTGAAGAGACATCATTCTTATAATTAGCTGAGCCATTTTTCCACACTATCATTTTGCTATACTGAAAAGTTGGCGTCCTCGGAAATGTGACTGTTTATACGCGATATCCGACAAAACAATGAACGTGTAATATTGTCTTGAGCATCATCCTCCATTCTCACAGCTTATTATTGTTAACTTATCAACGAGTGCGTAAACATGAAAAGACATTACTGAAGACATCTTAACCATTGCAATAGTATAGAACTAAGTTTTTGTTTCGTTTCGGGAACTTTTGATATCGTGTTGGATTTGAGAGTACCATACAAGATCTAGCTTACCTTGAAGTTTGGTCTCAGTTAATATTAGTCTTCCCAGAAGCGACATAAATATATAAAACCCACTGAACTGATCAGGCAACAAGGGGAACCCAAACCTGAAATTACTTTCGCGACAAATCAATCAGAACTTTACGGGTTCTTGTTGCAATCATACACTGATACAGACTACAAAGCCTACGGAAGCAATGAATTGAATAAAACATTGAGAGGACTGTAAATGAATTGAATCGGCCTTTTCTTTTCTTTCAAACACCTCTCCTTCCTCTTTCTCTCTTAAAATCACATCACATACGTATACCTCTAAACCGGGTTCTCACCTGTTGATCTTCTCACAACAATGTTAGTCTCAGAGAAATTTAACTGTGGGTGTTTTACTCTTACTCACAGTCAGTACAGCCGCGATAATATACAGCATTCAAACAAAAAATGGTCTGTGTTATTGTGTTGCTGCTTGTTGTATAAGGTTTCGCTTCTCCTCTGATCTGTGACGGAACAATTTGGTGATTTTTCTCCTCTCGCAATCCTGAAAATTTCAGAGGGGACAAAAATTTAGAATTCTTCTTCTTGATACGAGTTTTGCTCAAGATCAATGATAACTCGACAATATAGCGTAACCTGCACTGTGATACATTCCTATGAAGGGATTTGATTCAAGTAGAACAGATAATTCAACCCATCTTACACTCATATTCATCATTTTCTACAAACCCATGAATACTAGTTTCATATATTCGGCTCTGATACTAGTACACTATACCACTCCACTTTCCACAAATCCATAAGTAGAAGATCTCTATCAATCCTTAACCCAGCTTGAAAGTGAATACAATGCAAATTCACTGATGCCTATAAGCATTAGGCAGGTCAATATGGAATCTTAAAAGTTCCATTGAGGGTTATTGAAACATGAATCTTTTACCTTGAACATGTGAAGATTAAATGGAGTGTCAGGGTTCATCCTTGTTAATTTCTGGTAGGTGTATGCAAAGCTCAGCTGATCTCGGGGAGTGAAGCGCTCAACTTCGTTGAACCAAAGACAGGAGAATAGGTTTGACATGGGGGTATGTTCCCGTACAATGAAAGACCCTTCTGGAACATCTGCAAACATCATACACAAGGAAGATTACAGACTCATAGTCACAAAGTGAGGAAAACATATGAATGTATTGAATACATCTATTAGTCGACTATAGCATAGCTTGGAGCCAATAAGCATTTAACCACAAGGAAAACATAAATTTTAAGACTGTAATAGTAGTTGATAGCAATTAGATACATGTGACCAATTTTTACATGAGATTCAAACAGAATTTCACACCATTGGCAAAAATTTAAGTGTGAATTTTTCACACGCAGTAATTAGTAGTTTCAGATGCAAATCGTTGGCAAAACAATTCAACTCACACTAGTCATATTTTTGTAATTATTATTTACCAGTTTCTTTCTAATCATTCATCGTCCATAGTATAAGCAAACACAAGCAGCTATGGGCCTATGGCCACAAACTACAGAAACGCTCCCTAAGCGGGGTTTTCATCATGTCATATTGCAGTTATCAAAAAGAACTTACTGCTGGGAAGAAGCTTGTTGGGATCTGAAGCATTAAATCTCGTCAGCCCGTCACTCTGGTAAAACTCAAACTGCTGATCAATGACAGTGTGATTGTACTTGTTTAGCTTCTTGTTTTGTGCAACCTCTTCCCATAAACAATGGCGGTCATAATGATTGGAAATAGCATACTCATGCCCTTCACGCCACAGAAAGTATTCCAAAATGACTAAGGGGTCCAACTGGAGACGTAACTTGCTGTCTAACCAGATTGAGTACCTAAAGAATATACATCAGATGAGTTTCTGTTTTGAATTGTACAGCTTTAGGTGGGTAACCAAAACAACTTCCAACATCTAAACTTTAAACTTATTCTCATTTTGGCTCTTGGATTTGTAGCTTAGTACGGAAACTATACATATTGTCACGGTTAAAACTATACAGAAACTAGTACGAAATTGGTCCATGACAACATGCTAGACAACTAATATCCTATCCAGTCAATTCTTATTCATACTAAACCGAGAAATGGTTTTTTAGTCGGCTCTAATTTTGGCTAATTGTAACTGAAGGAGAAAATTGTGCCGAGTTAGACCTATTAAAACCTATCACTCCGACATGAGTCTCACCTTGCTGAAGGGAAAAGTCTGTGTGGTAACAGTTTTGGTATTTTGCCTACCCTCCGCATATCTGCGTAAGGAAGATTCCTTACCACCACCAACTTCCACAGACCAATGAATCCAGATTCGTCGGGTACTTGGCCTTCGGCAGAAAGTGTTTGCATGGTAATCTCGTCCACAAACACAACGAAGCAAACATCTTTTCTTGACAAACTACTTACCTAAACGAAGAGAGAAACCCAGGTTAGCAAAAGTAATGAATATAAATTTGATGATATCAGCGTGTAAACAACGATACATACAAAAGGGATATGCATCTATTGCATTTATGAGCTTTTAGTGCACTATAATGATGCCAAACTGAACGCAATAGAAGCTACTAACAAGTCACCGGAACCAATGTTTATGTCCTCGTCGGCATAAAGCTTAAGAGATGGTTGAATTTATGATTACATAAACACCCATCAAACAAACTTTTCAAATGCCAGGTACTCAACTATTTATAACTCATCATTTTCATGTCCAGCTTTGGCTAGTCAAAACATTTTGCACTCAAATATAACTGTCAACTACTCATCTTCATCTAGTTGCCAAAACTAGTTTACTGTTCATCAAGTTCAGGTTCAACAAGTGGTCGAACTCAGCTTGAAAATCTCAGACAGTGAGTATCTAAGAGCCACAAATTTCTCAAGTCTTCATGTATGAGCGATGAGCTATTTCAATTCTACTTAAGGAAACAAGGAGAAAAATAAAACATGAAAATACATCAAGGGCTAACATTGTCGTACCATTTTATTAGCAGGATGCCTCAAGCGATCAGAATTGCCAAAGATACAAGAGATCACAGCAATGTGACATCTACTGATATAGTTAGCATCATCTTCGGTCAGGTCAAATCCAGTGCTTGGCAATCCTTCGGGGGCTTTGACAAAGCCACAATGGATTTTCTGTTCTTGAACCAAGAAAGAATCTTCTCGTTCCTGTAAACTCTGGTGACCTGCAAATTTAGGCTCCCACTGTTCTTCTTCCTCGGGTTTATCCTCTATCTGTATGTATTGTAAGGACGGTGCAGCAAAATTTTGAGTGTTCAAAGGTTCTTGTATCTGTTGACTGGAATTCAACAGCTTCATCTCACAAGATACGCCTATAAGATTAAAAACACAAGAGGATTCTGAGAAGCAAGAGCCAAGAATATGTTCTTCAACACAGCTAATTATAAGACATTACCTGAAAATCTGTGACTTCGAGCTCGCCTTTTTGTATCAGATTGTGATATTTTCCCGGACTTACCACCGGAACCAACAAGAGAAGACTTCCCACGTGACCTTTTTAATGCAGCTCCATTAACCTTTTCAGTTTTCTGATGCTTGGTGATGGAATGACGTAACACGGATGCACTCTCTTTGTGAGATTCTTCAGTATCATCCTCATTGTGCCTTTGATTCTCTTTGTGTGATTCTTCATTTTCATGCCCATCATTCCCCATATCAACATACTCATCTCCTCGAGTATCATGAGTATCAATTGAATCATCTCCATTAGGGTCTGAATCAAATGGCTGATGATGGCCATCATTTTGTTTCAATGATTGACCACCTTTTATTAGAGACGCCTGATACTCTACTTCATATTTCTTGAGTTCATCGCGTCCAGCTTCATTATAAAAACCAACGCCTTTCCAATCTGAACCCTTCAAAGGATTGCGCAGCGATAAATCCTTTTTCACTTCAGACTTCTCCTTAGCAACAGGTTTATCCTCAGCAGCTACCTCTGCATCATCCTCATTATAATCTTCATCCCGTCTTCTATCATCCTTATCCCAATATCTCGAATCTCGTCCATGTAACACTGAACCATGACCAAACTTAAGTATTTTCAAAGGATCAGTTCTTGACACATTCGTAAGAAAATCACCTTCAGAGTTATCAATTCCTGCAAAAACATAATACAAACCATCAGCTCCTTCCTTATCTTACTCCAACACCAATTTCTCGAATCCAATTCCTATCAATTCAATCAACCGAAACAGGATCTAGCTTAAGTGAATCACTCATACTATCAAGCTCTGAGAAATCGAACTAACCTTTATCATCTCCGCCAAAATTTGTATAACCGGAGAAATAATAGTAAGCCGAGACACAAACAACGAGCACAACACAAAGAACAAACACAAAAGAGCCAACACCGAAACGACGATTCCTATCCAAACGAGCAGATCGCCGCCATCGACTAGCTTTCCCGTGCTGAGTCACTACACCGAAATTACCAACGCCGTTACGGATCCCGATCGCTACGTGATCCGACGAAGCTCCGCCGTTGACATAAGGATTGTAACCACCACTTCGACCTCCCAAAAACCTCTCCGTTCCCGATTGCCTATACTGAGCCATTCTCGCATTGTCGAACGAGCCTCCTCCTCCTCCGTCGCCGTCTCTCTCTCTACGTCTCCGTCGTAATCTCGTTTTACATATACAAGCAGAGAGTGGAGAATGTGAGGAGAAATTTTTGAAGTATGAATGAAGCAAACTTTGTTTTCTGATTTTGAGAGATATACTTAGACGAAGAAGATATTAAACAACCATTTAAAACGATCTGATTTGGGTAAGAGAGAGTGAGAGAGAGGGAGATGTGAAGGCGCGTGGAATATCACGCGCTTCCGGGGATATACGACGGCGTGTGTGTTTGGATCAGCAATACTGTAGTTTGTTTGTATGACGTGGCAGTCACGAGACTGTCCTTTGGATCCGACCCATTATAATCTCTTCGGGTGGGTGGGTAACCATTTTTGGTCTTCTAATAATAGAAAGGTAATTAATTTTGGGTTTGTTCAAAAAGGAAAGAAAGGTAATTAATTAATGATCGTTTTAGTAGTTTTCACAATATGGTATTATATTGATACAATTTCATAAATGATAAATTTTAGAGAATATATATATATATATATATACAAAAAAATTTGCATATTTTTGTTTATCATATATATTTTTTTTTTGTTGAAAGATAATTATATTGAATTTAAACGATCCAAATACCATTATTCATACAGCCATTGTGGCGGGTTTGTTACATCATAATAGAAAACAGAATTTATACAACCAAATTTTGCAAATCTATGGGAGGCTTCATTACAAAGACGAGGAATAAATAAAAAAATTAATAACATGAAATTTGGTTTATCATATTCATATAGGTTTCATGGACAAAATAATGCATATAGAGAAAAATATATGAATTTCGTACATATACCTTATCATTCGAATTATGATAATTCTAAAACATCATACCACATGAATCAAATTCTCATGCCTAATAATTTTTACACTTGGCGATAAAAAATATTTTTGTAAGTTAAACATGAGAATTTGGTTTGACCAAAAAAATTAAGGTATATATACAAAAAAAAATTAAAAATTGATACAACGTTTACTTTGTTATTTATATGCTTGTTGATTCTTATACATGTGTTATTTTATATGGTCAACGATTCATGTGGAGAATATTAATAATGGTTTTTGATTTTTTTAAATATTGATGTTTCTAGAATTGAAAAGATCATAATTTAGTTGGAGTTATTTGCTAGTTTATAATTGTTAATTATTGTTTATTTTTTCGTAGTGTTATATCATTGAGTTGTCCATGTGTTAGTTATAAACAGTTTCATCAATGTTGTATACATATAACTAAAAAAAATGAGAAATTTTAATTGATTCTGATAGATTATATTAAGAAAGGATTGGTTTGACGTATTTTACATTTACAACAAAATAATTAAGAAAGTAACGATTTTACATTATATAAAAACAATTTGAATGACCAAACATAACTAATATATTAGATATATAGTAAAATTTAATAACATTCAAATATATATTAGAAACATAATTGTTTTTTAATCTGTTTATATGTTTCCTTTGATATATTAGTTAAACTTCAAACTAACGAAACAAGAGAAGGACAAAACACGAGTATTTGCATGTAGTGCATTGCTGAGAAATGCATGAGTATCAATTAGTTTACGATACAACTTAAAATTAAAAAGTTGACTTGATTACATTAGTTTTGTGGAAAATTAAAATTAAATTTGTTCATTACTGTGAAGCTGGAACTTAACAAAGATTAGAGATTTTTTAATTTTGCAGAAATAGCAGTTTGGGAGATTTTTTACAAAGAAGATGCTGGAATAAGTTGATAAGTCTTGGACCTTTTCGAGCTTGATCGTGAGAGAAATCGAGGGATGCAAGTTCGTTATCGACTAATTACGTTAATCTGGTGGAGCTGATGGTGGTGCACTGGTGCTAGTCATGGTCCATTCAATAATGTTAGAGACATCATGTAAATTAATTAATTACATACAGTACGTTAATCGTTAGATTTAGTCACAAATCGTTTGACAATCGCAAGAACCTGCGATTAAACACGGCGATTGATTGATGTGAGCCTGTGACTGGCCACTATTATATTAGTTGTTGATTTAAGTTTTTTTCGTTTTACTTTATAACTATGATTCATTTTTGTTTTATGAGTTTTGTTTATGATTTGGTTTATGATATTGGTTTATGACTTTATATTGCTTTAGATTTGGATATGATAAACAATAAATTTCAAAATATTTAAAACTCAGTTGCAGCGATTACAATACGAATAGACTTGCTATTAGTCGAAGGACAGAAAAATGACGATTGTTATAGCGATCAATCGCGCGACTACTAAACAAACAACATCCCGCGACTTAAAAATCACAGTCGCAATCACTTGCAATTTTCAAATAAACATGCCCATATAGAGTAATCTCAAGTATAAGATAATAATGAATTGTTATAAGTTTGAGTGGTGAAAGACAGTAAAAAATTAAAATATATGTGACTTAATTATCTAAAAGTATATTCCCCACCAAAAGTTCTTATTTGTGAAAATAATTCACTAAATAGAAACAAAATGGTAGATAAACTCTAATTTTTTTTTATTCTTTTACATAATGGTCCATGTGCCACTACAAAAAAAAAAAAAGATTGTAACAAACTAATGATCTATTAGCTGATTTAGAAATTGTATCGCATGTTGAAAAATAAAAGACTTTAAATATACGACTTGATGAAAGCTTATATTATATGTTTGGGAGGATAAGGAAAGGAGATCCGACAAAAACTTGTTATGATTGACCGAGTTTGTGAAAGTTTCAAATCGTATAAACTAGTCATGAGTTACAGATATTGTTGTCATATATGTAAGTTTCTTATTATTTGTGTGTGTTTTCATGAATAAACTCAATATTTACTAAACCATAAACATTTTTTGTTGTACTTTGAAAAAAAAACTGAAATAGAGATATTAACATATTACATGTAAAATAAATAGTTTCCATGAGTCTTAGAAATATAAATAAAGTAGAGACAATACTGGTGTCTACAAATTTTAAAATCATAATAAGTCTTTAAATGATAAATAAAATAAAAAGATAATGCACAAATCAAGCGCGATTCTTTCAAACATTAACCAAATTCATATATCAAGCGCAATTCTTTCAAACAATAAATATTATATTTTACAATATTAGTTTTCTACTATACTTTGTAATTTTGTTTTTATTTTTATAGCTTTTTGAAATGAAAAGTTTTTTTGGTTAAATTTTATAATAAACATTAAAATCCTAAACTATATTGTTGTAATTCCTCTTATAGTATTTCTTTTCAAACACTCTACCTACATTAATCTTCTTTCCTATTCATCTCAAAAATGTATAATACAATTTACATAATTGCAACAATAGAAATATAGCAATTATAGTAGCATCATTATATATATATATATATATATATATATATATATATGTATTACTTTAGATTATCCAACAATACATAATTAGTTTGTATGAAAATGTTATATTAATATAATTCAAAGAAATACTTTCTTAAGTTCTAAATAAAAATTGTCCATGTATTTAGTTAACGAATATAATACATAAGATATACGTTTGTCTAACTAAGCATATTTATTATCTCTATTTCAATCAACATATATAACACTTTATACAAACTAATCAAATTATACAAATATTTGAAATATGTGTTTTATATTATTCGAAATGATTTACATATAGTGTAATTATAGTTTATAGAATTATATTATTACTTTAAAATAAATTGTATGATATGTTTTGAGATAAATATGAACACAATATATGTAACTATTTTAATTGAAATGTTTGATAAATATTGTTGATCTGAATTGATAATATTTTCCAACATTTGAATCTATTGCACAATATTTGAATCAGTTGTACTATATCGTTGAAAATATTTTTCAAACATTTAGTTATCCCCCTTCTTGTTATACCTTTGGATACCATGTCTAATATTTATTAGGTATTATAAGCTCATTCTTTAAAAAGAAAAAATCTAATATGAAATACTTCCGATATTTATACTTGCTTTAATTTGGGAAAAAATAATTCATTAGATTATTTTTGGAAAACACAATTAAGAACATACAATAATAGACTGACATTAAGTTCTACACTAATTTTCAGTAATTGTTGGATCTCCAACTGCATGGTCGGTAGCCATGTAGTATCAGCATCGTTGGCCTCATTGTGGTAGCGACGTTTGGTTGTATATCTTTGGCCTCAGTCCATATTTGGCAACATCAACATGGTCAGTGCATCGTGGTTAGCAATAATATTGGATACATAATATTTTTTGTTATCACAAAACTACTAGAATTTGAAATGCGGAAAATACTTTGATGCTTTCTTCTGATTTGAATATCGAATTTTAGATTTTAAAGATAATTCTCTGATATGTTATTACCGACTATGTTTTTGTTGGATTGATCTAGATCACAAGTATAGCAACTTAAAGAAACACTTGAAAGATTATAAAGAATTACTCTCTTTATTGCTTAAGAAAATATCTCAAAACTTAAGCTCTCAATCTCTCAATGTCTCACACTTAATGTCATGTCTCGACATCTATATTTATATAAAAAACCTATTCCTAATCCTATTAGAAATATATATACTTAGATAACTCCTAAAGTATATGATCATTATCTCTAACTAAACCATTGCTCGGTTTAGGATTAGGATAGCTTCTTCTCCAAGTTAAGTCTTCAAGCTTAACTCAACAATTGAGAGTTAGTAATGGTATATTGTGTACTCTATCTACATTTGTGTAGCAATTACAACGTTCATATATCTTTATGTTGGTTGGACTTGTGATGTGTTTTCTTTGTTTGTTTGTGGCTTAGTTTGGTTGAGGAGTGAAGCCTTGGTTTTAAGAGTAGGATTACATTTTTAAACTCTCTTTTTCCCTTTTCTGGTTTGGATTTGGGTTTGGGTCCGGTTTTGGTCCGGTTTAGTTACGTAAAGACCCAATTTCTGAATGCGACCTTTTTTTTTTCTCCTCATCTCTCTCAAGTCTCAACTAACAATGGTTGGTTCCTATTTCTCAGTTTCAGAGTCGTGAAACTTTGACTCGGTTACACATCTGACTCAGTGATTCGGGTTCGCTGGTGACCGAGTTAGATTAACCTCCGCACTAAAAGGTACCACCTTTCCCTAACATGAATGAAGAAATCTTCAGACTTTCGTCATTCTTGTTCTCGATCGTTGTTTCAATCTCTTCTCTGTTCCTCAATTAGATTCTCGAATTCGATTAGGGTTACACAAAAGTTGGGATTTTTATTACAAAGGGGGTTTCTTGAATTGGTTTAGGACAATGTAATTGTGTTGTTCTGTGGAATTAGAGAAGAGTAGAGTTTGCTTTTGTCTAAGATTATATGAAATTGAGAAGAAATTATACTTCTAATATGATTGTTTTGATTAGATTTCTCTGCTTTGGATCGAAGTTGAAGTTATTGATATAACTTCTCAAATTAGAGGAGGTAAGCTACAAAAACACCAAGTTTATGATGTTGTTCAATGCTCATTTGTGATTCAGAACACTATTGTTTAGTAGCTTCACTGTTCTTGATGGGTATATGTAAATGAGTTTAGTTTGAGAGGTTTAGAGAGCTCTTTGGTATTGGATATGTACTTGGTTTAGTTGGTTTGTTGAGCGTGTATGTATATACCTACATGCTTGCAGAGTTAAGTTTGTTTGATCGCGTATGTATATTCCTACATGCTTACACAGGTAATGAAAGAGCTTTACTTATTAACGAACTCGAATATAGTATCAGAGAACCAATCTTTCTCTCTTTTTTAGTATATTTGCACATTTTTCCTTTTGATTCTTGTTCGAATTCATGTCATGGATCTTGATCTGAATATGTGATAGTATTGTTTGCTAGTTGATATAGACATTACTTTGAATGTAATTGCTGATTGCTTCTGAATTATAGTTTACTCTACTCAATGGGTATTTTATGGTTTGCTGCTAAACAGGAGATGTTTGGAAACTCTTTAGCTTCACCTTTGGCAACATTGGGTTCGGCAAAATGTGTCCGCCACTCTGCAGTATGTAACATATTCGCAGACCAAAACTTATATTTCTAATGGTCTTTTCTGAAATCTCTTTATGTATTTGCAGGTTGATCTTGTAGCATACAATAATGTTTTACCATTGAGTTTGAACTCGTCGTATCATGGTGTGATTAGAGGAGTAAGGACATCTCTTGTTTCGCGAAACAAATGGATAGTGCTTTGTTCAACAACACAAGTGGAAACCTCTAATGAAGATCCAAAGACATGGGAAGAATGCAAAGAAGCTTTGTCTTGTTTTGATTTCAGTGTAGAGGAGAAAGACAAGATACTAGGAAAAGCGTTTGGTCATATCCATTCGCCGTACTGGACAGAAGAACGAGTGAAAGAGAATCCAAAGGTGGAAACTTTGAATCAAATACTTGAGTTCCTTAGAAGTCTCGGCTTATCGGACGAAGATCTGCATAAGGTGATGAAGAAATTCCCGGAAGTACTCGGTTGCAGCTTAGAAGAGGAGATGAAACCAAACATTGGGATCTTGGAAAACCAATGGGGGATTTCGGGTAAGCAACTAAAGAACCTGTTGCTTCGGAATCCGAAAGTGTTGGGATACAATGTGGATTGTAAAGGAGATTGTATTGCTCAATGCACTCGGTGTTGGGTTCGTTTTTAGTGTTTGATTCTCCAAGCTAAGTGATCGTTGATATTGTACCTATTTGAGTGTGTTAGCTTAGAGTTAGAGCAAAACCTGATCTGTATCTAGTCCTCTGTCTCAGGCTCTCAGCGAGTTAAATAAACAATCATTGATCTTTGATTCTTTTATGTTAATGATTTTTAAGAATTTCTTAACACAACGTAACTAGATATATAATTACTTGTAATTCTATAGAAATTTCTTGATAAACCTTTTTGGGTTGAAATTAACATAAGTGACTGTTTAAATAAAACCCTTTTTCAAATATTATACAAGGAATGTAAAAACTGTTGTCTTTATTTATTTACTTTGACTTTAATTGCCTCCTTCATAAATAAATATTCTACTCTTTTTTTTTTCTTTGTCTTTGTAGCGAATAACCTAACATTTGCGGATTTTAAGACAAAAAACAGAAAACCACCTTTTGACACCAATCAGGTTTTTTTTATCTAGATTTACAGTTTTTGAAAAAAAAAAAAACATTTGCGGTTTTCAAAAACAAAAATGGTCATGGACCGCTTTGGAAAGCAACCCCTCTCCATATCATGTGATTTTATTGAAAACGCAGTGGATAGAAAGAAAAGTTATTTTTCTGATTTTTTCAATTGAAAAAGTAGTATAAAAGCTATATCAACATCCATAACACACGATATATGAAAAGCATTGCTCACCCATTATAGATCATTTTACTCTTCTTCTCTCTTCTTTTTTTGGCAAAGTTTTTTTTTTTGCAAACACAACAATCCATTCATATAAGGTAAGTTTTTTCTTCTTCATAAATTTTTAGATAATAGAATATAAATGTATAAAAATATTTATTTATTAATTTATTTATATAATTATCCTAATTATTAATAAAATAATATGAAATCTGCACCGCAAATAATTTTTCACCAATCAAACATTATTTTGCACCCTTTTTTTTTTACACAAACTGCACTTGTCCCGCAATTATATTTATCTCGCACTTACCGCAGTTGAACCGTACCACACTATCAAACCGCTTTTCCCGCACTACCAAATCTGCTGTCACCATTTGGAGCCAAGTTGTTTGATGTTTCTGTAATTTTTTTTTTTTGAAATTGCTTCTTTTGGTAACTTTTTATATATTTGCATTTAACGTGGACAATTCTCCTATATATCACTAAATGTTTTTTTAATAAAATAATAAAATATTAGACTTATTTTCTCAAACTACTACTAAAATATATTTTTTTTGAAAAATACCACAATAGTAAAACTTAATTTTTAACATTCAAACTAAAGCAATCGTAAACGGTAAACTATATTCTCTAAAACTATATATTAAATTTAAAATAGTCAATCCAAACTCCAAAAAAACAATTATACACTCTTAAAATCAATTTTTTATGTGGTATTTTTAGATAAAATAGATATTTTGTGGCATTTTTTGAAAAGTGAACTGTTTTTTCAAACACTGATGGAGCGGAAGCTTCTAGGGATAGGATTAGAGATCCGTTGATTCTTAAAATACCCGGAAATCTAGGATTTGAGAGTCCTCCTCTCAGGGCTTTCACAAAAGCTCTTAGCTTTGTGAATACTCTTCACAATGGTTATAAAAACCTCTTTAAATCTTTCGATTAATCAATATAACAAATAACTCAATACAATAAGAGGCTTAAGAAGCCTATTTATAATAAAGCATAAAACCCTAAAACTAAGAATATTCTAGAATAATTATAATAAATAAATTAAGAGATAATAATAATAGATATTTGGATATTTCCAAATATCTCGCTGCATCAGGTCTCGCCGGCCAAGAAAAGATTCGTCCTCGAATCTTGTATATGCGCTGCATCAGCTCCCGCCAGCCAAGAAAAATCCGCCCTCGAATCTTCAGCAGATTTTTCAGCAAAAGAGATCTTTCTAGATCCATCTTTATCTCAATATGTTGGTTTTGCTCGATTTTTGCACAATCCCGGTTTGATCCAAAATTTGCACGAACTGTAACTGACCCGAAATTTGCACGAACCGAATCTGACCCGAAAATTGCACGAACCGGATCTGACCAAAATTTCGCACAAATCACCTCCTCTACGGATGCACAGGTCGGAACTTGCATGAAACTTGCACAAATCGGTAGTTTCATGATTTCTGCAGAAAATCTAATGATGATATTTTTGGAAAAATAGATTAATAGTAGTTTTTTAAAATGATATTTTGAGGAATTTTTTTTTATTTGAGAAACATATTAATTAAAACTGGTTTTGTGAAGTCTATTAAATCAAATCAAATTTGGTTCAATCCGTCCGATGTTTACAAAAACTCAAATCAAGTTCATCCAATGTCGACCGTTTTTACACTCTCATCCGAACTCAAATAGTTTCACAAAACCATTCACTGTCACATCAGAACAATAACAAATTGATACACAAGTTTTTTTGTTTTTTCCGATAAACCCTATCGGCTAATCCAGTCAACCCCAGTAAAAATACACCGAAATATTTTAAAGTGGACTTTTCCCCGATTAATACACAAGTGAGCACGCGTGAATTAGGTAATTGTTGATTCACTTGACACTATATATGCATAATGGGATATACGTGTAACACCATGTAAACATAAGCGTGTAAATTTAAATACGTGTGAATCGAATGATGTGTGTTTTAAAAATTGGTAGAGTTTTGCACTTCATGAGCTGCCAATTATAAAATTGGACATTACCATGTTAACGTACGTGATCATGGTCATTGGCACTAGGTGCCATGCGGACTCTACTTCGGTGGCATGTTCATATCCTTCCAAGTCATCGTCTCCTCGTGGAAGCACACACAAGTACACTTACATGTTCAAACACTTGTCTTCTTCATTCAGACCATAATTTAAAATCCGAGTTAACGCAAAGACGTTCGTATATCTTCTTCATTCAGACCATAATTTAAAATCCGAGTTAACGCAAAGACGTTCGTATATAGTAAATAGCCAAATGTTTAACATATTATATATTAACACTAATATATATTTATCTCTCAAAATCTTTTACAACATTAATGGGAAACAAGATTTTAACCAAATGAAAACGTTTCTAAAAACTCGTAAATTAATGTTAATGTTCATATCTTATAAGTTATATATGTAGCGCGCACAATGTAAACTACGGCCATCCACCTCAATATACATCGATTAATAATTCTGTTTTTCTTCCCCAAATGATGTAAATATATAATAAATAAAAATTGTAACAATAAAGTATTTGGATATAGCCACTATATATATGGGGAAAATGTCAAAAAAAATATAAACTTTCAAATTTGGGACGATTTAATCCCAAACTTTAGAGAAATAATTTTGAATTTAGCTAAGTTTTGTTGATTTTACCGATTTAAGCACGATGTTTAATCTATGTCAAAATCTCGAAGACATGGTTAACTATTTGTGTTTTGGTTTCGTTTAGCCTACACATCCACGCTTTTTAAACGACGAAACGAAGCTGGGAGTCACTTTCTTCCTCCATGGGCCCATGCTATGGTAACAATCCGACAAAAGGTAGAGAGAATTTGTAGATTTTTCTAGGGTTATGATTTATATTTGTAAATTGTGGATCGATTTGGGATTGCGTGTCTTTAATTTCTTAAAAGACGTTGTTTTGTAGTTTAAAATACATGGTCATTTAGGCTAAACCGAAGCAGCTCACGGATAGTAATTAACCATGTTTTACAATTTTCAGAGAAATAAAACGTCGTGCTTAAATCGGCAAAGTCAACAAAATTTAACTATTTTACAAAAAAAATTAATCTAAATTTTGTGATTAAAATAATTTTTCGAAAGTTCAGGATTAAATCGTCTTGAATTTGAAAGTTTGGGATTATTTTGACATTTTCCCTCTATAAATATACATACCAAACATGTTAAATTCATACACACATATTGCTGTAATACCAACAAGTTGCATGCGTTTCAGACATGGCAAGCTTACGATGCCAACTGGTTCTATTACTAATCATCGTCTGTCTCACCACTTATGAGGTATTTGTAACTTAGTCTTTATTTTTCCAAGAATCACTTGATGTTACTTAAATATCTTATTATACTTAAATTGATATGTATATGATAATGGTGTCGATGAATGATCATTGTCTTCAGCTTCACGTTCATGCTACTGATGGCGCAAAGGTTGGTGAAGGCGTTGTAAAAATCGGTACGTAACCCTAACATGTAAAGTACTCTCTTCTCATATTTATCAAAAGCTGTTCTTGGACGAAGAAACTATATATGGACTAACACTTCACACTTGGAATTGCCTAGCTTTAAAAAAAAATATATATATATATATATATATATATATATAGTTTTGATGTATGCATGTGTGTATGTAGATTGTGATGGGAGATGTAAAGGTAGATGCAGCAAATCGTCAAGAACGAAACTGTGCTTGAGAGCATGCAACAGCTGTTGTTCTCGCTGCAACTGTGTGCCACCTGGTACTGCCGGAAACCACCACCTTTGTCCTTGCTATGCTTCCATTACCACTAGCCGTGGCCGACTCAAGTGCCCTTAAATGTCTATCTTTATCCTTATATATAAGTAGCATGTGTGTATTTCGAACGAGCAAGTATATTTTGTTATGTTTTGGATGATGAGAGTATCATGTATGAGAAGCTATAAACTAATTAATTAGAAGTTAATGGATCATGTTGAACTAGTATGAGTGATAATATCAAACTGTGTTACTTTTAAACAAGTAAAGTTTTGGTGTTCAAAAATAAAAATAGTCTAAGATGAGAAAGGAAATGGTACAATGGAAACTTTTTTGAAGCTCTTTGGGATATCTATTTTTTTGGCAATTCAATAGCTACTATGAGATTAAATGATAAATGATATGATGATTTGGGCTTCTAAAAATTTTAAAATAAAGAGTAAAAGACAAAGATCATGAAGCATTTTTTTTGCAATGGCTTTCGTATGGAATGGTGAAAGAGCTATGCTAATGTCCTATCATATCAATGTAGTAGTTGATGTGTGTACTAAATTTAGGAGTGTTTCTCCTAAACCTTTTGTTAACCAATATGACTCGAGAAAATGGTTTCACAACTTATGGAAGTTGTATATCTGTTTTTTCCGGTAGCTACGAGGTTTATGTCTTAGGCCGTAATCTGTTTAAAATTTAGGAAAAATCGGGTGAAAGATCCTGATCAAATAAAAACATAACGATTTGTGCTTGAGGAAAATCGATTTCTAACTTAAACCAAATGAAAAATTTTATACTTAAATGGAAACCACTAGACGGAAACCAATTTTTTGTTGTATATATGATATTATATGTAAAATACTTTTCAAAAATAATTTTTACCAAGGTCGCAAACGGTTTATCAAAATAAACAAAGTCAACCTATGAGAGCCGCATCCTTAACACAAGCCATATAAGTCCCAGCAAGCTTAATACTATGAGACAAACAAGTCCACGACTAGCCGTATAATTAAGATTCTTGCTAAAATGACTATATAAAGTATGTAATGAACATCATTGTTTTTAACTTAGATAGTTATCAACTTATTCCCTATCTATAATTGAATCAAAATATTATTAATCTTGGCGACGATCTAAAGCTCTCTTCTTTGTTTACTTTACATTTACTTTCACAATAAAGTTCTTCATGAGCTATTCAATTTTCAATCTCTTTGAGATCATAAATCTTTCTTGCTTTGGAATTGCTCAACACATACGTGCAAGTAACGTGAAGTAAACGTTGGTTCACTCGTGTTGTTGCATATCTGCATATGTACTAGAGCCGTGTTTCACTTTAGATTGATAACAACTGCACAAGTCCACGAAAATAATTAAAATTGTGTTTAATTTTTTTTTTCTTGGACATTCTTCATCAAAAATGAATAGTCACTATCATAATACTCATTTAAAACTATTTTATTCTTTAATTAAAAAATATCTACAAATTTTACATTTTTCAAAATAATTTTAAACAGATTAGAAATGGTTGCTGTTCAGCTGTCACCAGACATGTCCAGTTCCAACGTACGAGATGGTCATTGCCATTAGGTGCCATGTGGACTCTACTTTGGTGGCATGTTCATACTCTTCCACAACATCAACATAAACGTGAAAACACACCCACCACACTCACTTACATCATAACACACATGTCTTCATCATCGTACGCAGCTCACAAAAAGAAATTGAAAACTATGATCTTGTTATAAAATACAAAAGTTGTAACAATAAAATATTTGGTGTAATCACTATAAATATCGTTAAAGAGGTGTTACATTTTATATATTCATAGCCTAAATACCAAAAAGAGAGAATCATAGAAAATAGTTTTATTTTCAAAACATGGCAATCTTGTTTCGAAGTACACTGCCTTTGTTGCTGATCCTAGTCTGTCTCACAACTTATGAGGTTCTTAAATTTTGTCTTTATTTTTTAAATAATCACTTAACTAGGTAGTAACTCGTGCCGGGAATTCGTTAAGTAAATTTCTGTGTTTATAGTTCAGATAAATACAATTTATATAACTCGTTTTTAAATTAGCTGTTGTTTACTGTTTTTTTTCACAAAAATAATAATTAAATTTTCAGTTTTATCCTTCTCTAATGTAATTTTTATTTTATTTTAGTAGTTAACACGTTAAAATAATTGAAACAAAACTGAAAATTTTACCAAATATTTGTATTAGAAATTTAAAACGACAACTATTATAAAACAAAAATTTTAACTCTAAAACGAAAATAGGAATATAGTTAAATTCATTTGCTGTTTGATCTATAATAATGATGATAGTGATTAATCATTCTCTCCAGCTTCATGTTCATGCCGTTGAAGGTGCACAAGCTGGTGAAGGAGTAGTGAAAATTGGTACGTAACTTAGCTAACATGTGAAGTATTCTTCTGCTTACAATCAAATGTTTCGGATGAGTCTTGTATGTATGAATATGTCATATATGTGTTTGTGTAGATTGTGGTGGGAGATGCCAAGGTAGATGCAGCAAATCGTCAAGGCCAAATCTGTGTTTGAGAGCATGCAACACATGTTGTTCCCGGTGCAACTGTGTGCCACCGGGCACAGCCGGAAACCACCATCTTTGCCCGTGTTATGCCTCTCTTACCACTCGTGGTGGTCGTCTCAAGTGCCCTTAAATTTCTATAATTATATCATTATATGTATTTCGACAAGCTAGTACTGTTATAGTATGAAGGATAATGGCATATGCGTGTATGAGAAGCAATATAGTTAGCTAATATTAATGGTTATTTCAAACTTCTTTATATCAAAGGAAAAATAAACATTATAATTGTGTCTCTTTTGAACAATCAAAGTTCAGGTTGCAAGTCTAGCTAACAACCTGAAATTTATTCATAATAATTGGAGATGTGAAGAAAATAGATCATTTAACAACAACAAAAATTGCATTACTAATGAGATTGCAAACTCAACCTTGTTAATGAGATTAACAACAAAATTTCATTTAATTATGTATATAAATTATTTAAGCCTTGTTTTGATGGTTCTTTTTTTAAGTATGTTTGAGTAGTTTAAAGGCATATTTTTGTTTATATTGTTCTTTCGTTCTAAGTTGAATTCCATTTACTGATATAGTTAATGTCGTGAACTAATTATGTATTTAGGTTTTCCTAATTGTTAGCCTCATTGCTAAAAACCTAAATTTGATGAAATCGTATTATGACATGTACAGAGGCGGAGGTAGTGTTATAGGAGGGGGGTCAGTTGACCCCCATGGAATTTTAAATTTTTTTAACTATTAAGATGAACTATGAAATATTATTAGATGTTTTAGTATAAATTTTTCATATTGACCCCCATGCTATGTGACTATTCATGTCTTTGACCCCTTCATTATTTCTATATTTTATATAACATTAATTTCTTTTCCACTTTTTATTCATTTTTTCTTAAAAAATAACTATTTTGTATATCTCTTACACATTGATTTTTTCTTTTCATTAAACATCTTGTTCTTTTTTCCTTACAGTTTTTTCCAAATTTTTCTTACATATGTTTAAGTACAATATAATTAATATTTTGACAAAAATATATATTTTGAGAATAAAAAGTACTTAACACAGCTGATATAAAATAAAAAAGGTGAACTACATGTAGTTTTCATTGTTAAATGAAACATATTAAATACAGCAGGTATATATATATAAATACTGCAGGAATATAAATTTTGTTTAAATGGTCTACAAAAAAAAATTACTAAAAAAATATTTTCCTTGATATAATTATATATGTATATGTTTTTTTGTGAAAAATATTTTTTTTCTAGAACATTTAAACAAAAATTTATACTTTAAATATATATTTTAATATTAGTGTGATAAATAAATATAACTAAATATATATGACCCCTATATAACTTTATGGACAATTGTTGAATGTCATGCCTAGTATATAGACTATTGAGATATTTACATTATTATTATTTTTTAATTATTTTGTGGTTTGTACTCCAAAACTTAAAAGGTATACATACTTAACTTAAAAATTATCTGAATTAAAAAATTGCCTGGAAACCTATAAGATACATTATTGAGGACTACACTCTACTTATCGGGTTTAATTACAATACATCAAGTAAGACTATGGTTAATAGGAAAAAAAAGAAATAGTAAACAGCAATTGGGAAAGAAATGAAATCTGGAAATCTTTGTTTGGAAAATTGAAAGAAAGATCTAACATCGCTAAATATTGTAGACATACAAACAATGCAACATCTCTTGGAACAGATTAGGCTAGCGCTTCTATTTATCGTTGAAGGATGTTGTCTCTAACTCGTGGTAATAACAATATCAGGCCCTGAGAGAGTAGGTAGTAGAGATGTTTGAAGACATTAAATAACTTACCAACTACATATATTTAATTGATATTTATATAATTCTCAATAAATAAATTTGTGATTAGTTTCATAAAAAAAAAGATTAGTTTCATAAATCCCTATAAACCACTACAAATTTTATTAACTATCAACCTTAAACATATCATCATATTTTAATATTTTAGTTTGGAAACATGTATCAGTTTCACTTGAATAATCCAATATTGATGTAAAATTTATGATTAAGTAAGAGATTATTCATAAGTCAATCTTTTTGGATATTATTCCAGTTTTCATTAGCAGATTTGCTTAATTTTTGTGAGGGTTCCATCCTTTGAACAAACCTTGTACTCATGACAACAATATGATTTTAAATGGAGAACTCCATTTAATACATATATAAACATATAATGGTAAGATAAATTATATTGTAAGAGAACCTCAAAAAAATATCTCTCTATAATTTTAAGAAAAATATATATTATATATCAACAAATACAACATAAAATAATATTAAGAATATAATATGTTTTCTATCTAAATTTACATAATACCTTTTGAAAATAATTAGAAAATAGAATTTAACCCAATCTATAGCTAACGTAAATGGATTTCATTTATATTGTTAACAATAAAGTAAACAGCTCAAAACAAATACAAAAATAAATAAACCATTGGGTTTTGGAAGTTAGTGAACCCTCTGAATAAAGTAGAAGTTTCTCTATTATCAAACAAAGGATTTTTACAAGTAAGGGTATAGAGAAGAAAGCATATACTATGGTTGCAAAATCACAAATATTTTATTATTCTTTAGTCTTTGCGTCTCAAATTCATATTTCCAACTAATATAATTAAAATGTGAAACACCAAAAGCAAAAACAAAAAACAAAGTTGAAAACTTTAGATTTTGTTGGTGGAGAAGCTCTTCAAATCCTTCAAAACTGGGTTATCTTGAGAGAGAGATAGCATTACAGAAATGGCGGCACCTCGGAATATAACAAGTGACGGCGGAGGAAGACAGCTCGTGAAAGACGAAGAGAGCGCCGCCGCGGCGTCCTCGGCAGCTAAAGGAGGAGGACTTGTTAACGATGATTCGCCGGCGGGTAAACGCACTAAATCGGAGCGGTTTCCTCTGTCACGGTGGGAATTCGCCGTGTTTTTCGCCGTCTTTCTCGTCTTCACCGCCGGGCTTTTGTGTATTTACCTCACCATGCCTGCCGCTGAATACGGCAAGCTCAAAGTTCCTAGAACTATCTCTGATCTACGATTGCTCAAGTGAGATTATACGGCAAGCTTCTTTCTTTTGAATTTGAAAGTGTTTAGCTTTGAGTAGTGTTCTCTTGAATCTGATTCAAAACCCCAAATTGAAAGTGTTTAGCTTTGAGTTGTGTTCTCTTGAATCTGATTCAAAACCCCAATTTGAAAGTGTTTAGCTTTGAGTAGTGTTCTCTTGAATCTGATTCAAAAACCCAAATTGAAAGTGTTTAGCTTTGAGTTGTGTTCTCTTGAATCTGATTCTAAACCCAAATTGAAAGTGTTTAGCTTTGAGTAGTGTTATCTTGATTCTGATTAAAAAACCCAAATTGAAAGTGTTTAGCTTTGAGTTGTGTTCTCTTGAATCTGATTCACAAAACCCAAATTGAAAGTGTTTAGCTTTGAGTTGTGTTCTCTTGAATCTGATTCTAAACCCCATTTGAAAGTTTGGATCTTTTGGAAATTTGGTTTGGAGAGCAGGAAATTTTAGCTTAAAGACATTATTTTAGAACCAGCATTCTCACTTTTTTGTATGTTAGTAGCTTGCTAATGTAGAAACTGAAGGTGTTTAGCTTTTAGTAGTGTATCTTGAATTTGGAGCCTAATTAAAAAACCCAAATTGAAAGTTTGGATCTTTCGAAGATTCAGAATCGGTGTAGAGAGCAGCAAATTAGATTAAAGACATGATTTTAGAAGCAACAATCTCAGTAGCTTGTTCGTATGTTCTAGATATTGAATTTAAGCTAGTGTAGAAACTGAAAGTGTTTAGCTTTTTATGATGTGTTTTGAATCTGGATTCTACTTTAAACCCCAATTTGAAAGGTTGGATCTTTCGAAGATTCCGAAACATGTGTTTAGAGAACAGCAAAATTGGTGTAAAAACTTGATATGGTTTGCTTGGACTAGTATATGATAATGATACATTTATGTGAATATATGCAGAGAGAATCTTGGGTCTTATGCAAGTGAGTACCAAGCACGGTTCATTTTGGGTTACTGCTCGACTTATATCTTTATGCAGACTTTTATGATACCTGGAACAATCTTTATGTCATTGCTTGCTGGAGCTCTTTTTGGTGTGGTCAGAGGCTTTTTCCTTGTCGTCTTCAATGCAACAGCTGGAGCATGTTCTTGTTTCTTCTTATCAAAATTGGTCGGAAGGCCTTTGGTTAACTGGTTGTGGCCCGAAAAGTTGAGGTTTTTCCAAGCCGAGGTAAGTACTTTTGTGTTAGATTAGCATAAGTAACGTCTCTTGTTCTTAAGGATTAGTGCGTTAAAATCTTTAATGCTTTGGATCAGATTGCGAAGAGAAGAGATAGGCTGCTAAACTACATGCTGTTCTTAAGGATAACACCAACACTTCCAAACCTATTCATCAATTTGTCCTCTCCTATCGTTGACATACCTTTCCACGTCTTCTTTTTGGCAACTTTAGTTGGTCTTATGCCTGCTTCATACATCACCGTCAGAGTGAGTCCTATAGTTAGATCTCTTATTGTGGTTCTTTCACATTAAACAGGCATAACATTTATTTCATGTATACAGGCTGGTCTGGCTCTTGGAGATCTCAGATCAGTAAAGGATCTGTATGATTTCAAGACTTTGTCAGTGCTGTTCCTCATTGGATCCATCTCCATATTCCCTGCCCTCCTAAAGAGAAAGAGAGTATACGAATGAAAAGCGAATACCACAGATATATTTATATAGATGTTGATGAGCAGCACCATACAGTCGCATGGCCGGATTGTTTAAGGTGTTTCTGAGCTCAAGCTAAAGAAGAAGATCGCTTCCAAAACCACTAACTTTGGCTTTGATTGGTTTATTACTTCGTCGTCGATTCCTAAGCTGTTCTTTGTAGTTCCTCATTCCCTTTGTAGTAAGTGTTTTTCTAACTAGTTTTACTAAATCCTGATACAAGATTGGATCTGTATATTGAATGTTGTTGATTCAGAGATATGACTCTGCAGCCTATTGGCTTATGTAGTAACATGATTATGTATATGCTTGAAGACATTGCTTTGTCCAAATCCTTATGCCTGTAATCCAAATCATTGCATTCAGCTGCATTGTCGAGTTCTCTCTTATTCTTTTAAGTTAAAAAGACAATAAAGGGAAACTACGGAGCAAAAGTGATCAATAGTTCCATACATTACAAAATTTGAGAGTTGCTCATCTACAAAGGTAAAATTGAAAACAAAAAGAGAGAAAAGATTCAGTTTTTCTTTTCTTGGGTTCTCATCTTCTCAATTTCAAAATGTGTATAGGTATTATAATTAGTTTGGTGGGTCATCAGACTGTGTAGTGCTGCTGGTGTCCTCAACCCCAAAAGCGTCAGCTATATTGAAGTTCAAGTTGTTCCTCATTGTTCTGCTCCTCCCAACTCCATCTCCTTTCTTCATCATTGCAGTAAACTCCGAGAAATCTATTCTTCCATCCTAACCAAACCATGCATTTGCATCATCAGTTTTTATCCAAACTCAGTTACGAAACAAGACAAAAGGAAAAAGGTCATGAAGGCTTCTTACATTATCAAGATCGATCTCCTTGATCATGTCGTCAAGAGGAGTGTCACAGAGTCCAAACTCTGTGCAGGCTTGTTGAAGCTCGTCAATGGTGATATAACCGCTTCCATCTTTATCAAAGTACGAAAACGCAACCACCAAATTCTCCTCTCTCTCCATCTTGTTGATATGTAATGTCGCTGCTAGGAACTCACCGTAGTCTATTGTCCCACTGTTGTCTATATCCGCCTGCCAAACACCGTTTAAGCATTGTTGTTACTACAATGTAGCAGAACATCTTTTGTATGGAGAATTAGATTTGCTAAAAGAAAGTTTTTGTTTTGGTATAATACCGCATCCATAAGAGACTTGATTTCTGATTCCATCAGCTCAGATCCGACTCTCTTCAGACCTGCTTTAAGTTCCTCGAAGGTGATTGTTCCACTGTTGTCTGTATCTATCATTTTAAACAGTTCCTTCAGACCACCAATTTCTTCTTCCGAGAGTCTCTCAGCGATTACCTAACGAAGAACCAGTTCTTGAAAATAAGAATGGCTACAACTTTCTTACTAGTAAGGCCATTTTCTTAATTTTGTTCCTTTCTTAAAGATAATTCTTGAAATGCGGTTTCTTAACCAATCTTCCTAATCAGTAAATCAGTTCTTGAAAATAAGCAATGAGAGTGGAGACTAAAGAGCTACAACTTCTTTCTTACCCTTAAGGCCATTTTCTTGATTTTATTCATTTGTGAGAACTGCTTCAGACGCGACAAGACTGCTGGATCAAGTGGCTTATCTGGTGCAGCATGTTCATCAATAATCCAAGGGTGACCTGATAATATCATCAGAGGAAAACTCAGTTCACATATATAGGAATTAACAACAAAAATACAAGCAGCGGAGAAGAAACCAATCATTACGAATAGCTTACACAATGCTTCATGTGCAGAAATGCGTTTCTTGGGGCTCCTATCAAGCATCTTGTAAATCAAATCTTTAGCACCTTCTGATATACTAGGCCATGGATCAGATTTAAAATCTATCTTCCCTTGCAAAATCTGTCTAAAGATTCCTGACTCAGTTTCTGCAAGCAAATTAGACATGGATTCATAAAGATCACATAAGCAATGTGCTTTGATACAGTAGTAACAAAACTACTGGCTTTCACTAACATACCTGCCCAAAAAGGAGGAACACCACTTAGTAAGATGTAAAGGATAACACCGGCGCTCCACACATCTATCTCTGGTCCATAACATTTTTTCAGAACCTCAGGTGCAACATAATACGGACTTCCAACTACATCATACAGATACTGCCCTGAAGAGCCAAATAACATAATGACAGCTTTGTTAGCCACATTCCAGCTCTGATAGCATTGCTGCATATTCTTATGTTACATATAACAAAACCTTGCCATTAACACATTCATATATCACAAGTTCACAGCTAAATGTCAAATCCCGATTCAGAAAAATAAGTCCAAGCAATACTGAATTGACCATTCAATCAAGATCCTGCATATAGCATCTCAAGAAATCTGTTTTTAGCATCAGACAAAACATTTCTTGACAATGTATCAAAACACAATCAACCAACAAATGCAGACAAAAACCATTTGATTTCATAGGTTAGTGTCTAATGGATGAATCAAAGCACCAAATGCATCACTTCATCAGCATTAACATATGTTACATATAACAAGACGCCATCAACACATACATATATATCTCAACCAAATGTCAAAACGTGATTTAAAAACCAATCTTTTCCTAACAATTCTCAAGCCGCAAATCTGAAAAGACCATTCAAACAAACAGAGTCGAACCATTTCTTGGATCAAGAAACCAAACTAGACATTTCTTAAAGAAGCAATGAACCAACAATGACAAGAACCACCATGAATTTGATTCGAATCTGAGTCAAAGAAAGTACCTGGCTTGAAGAAGACAGACAAACCAAAGTCAGTAGCTTGAAGCTTAGCATCATCATTAGCACTATCAAACAAGAAATTCTCAGGCTTGAGATCTCTATGCATAACACCAAGAGAATGACAAGCCTCAACAACACCAAGAATAGTCTTAATCAACTTAGCAGCCTCACGCTCACTAAAATGCCCTTTAGAAACAATCCTATCAAAAAGCTCACCACCTTCACAAACCTCCATTACAATGTGAACAAAGACAGAGTCTTCATAAGTACCCTTGATCCGTACCACATTAGGATGCTCAGAGAGGTGATGCATGATCTGAATCTCACGCCACACATCTTCATAGTCCTCACGGCACACTAGCTTACGTTTTGGGATCGATTTGCAAGCGTAGTTAGCTGATGATGATTTCTCTGTACAGAGATAGGTCGTACCGAATTGGCCTTGGCCTAGCTTTTTGCCGAGAAGGTAGTGATCTCTTAACCTTGGTGTCTCGTATGGGAGAACACTGCTCGAGGGTCTTCTTTGGTTTGGTCTCTCCATCTTCTTGAACTAATCTTGAATTCGAAAGTCTCTGTCTTTTTTGGTTTTTGTATTACCCCAAAGGAGGAAGATGATACGAAGTTATGAACCCTTTCAATATCTTCTTCATCTTTCATTGTTTTTGTTGACTCGTCTTGTCCAATTATTAAATTATTATTATTGACTTATTGTTTTTGCTCTTTTATTATCCCGTGACCATCAACATTTATATTCTTTTAATTTTACTTTTTAATTAATGTAGTTGATGAGAAAAAGAAAGAAAAAAACTATTGAAATTTGAAAGATTCAATTATTGAATCAATGAGAAAATGTATATATTTTCAAAAACTTGAAAGGGACAAGCCATTTTTGCATTTTATCAATTTTGTTATGATATAATTTGTGAACTACAATATTTTTTTTTTTTCATTTTAACTAGAACTAATTCACCACAGTTGTAAATTTGAATCCAAATAATAAGACAACAATGTCACTGAATATAATTCTATTGCAAATCCTAGTTGAATTGATTTTATATGTAATGCAGAAAATGACAAAAACACTATAATTTTTAGTTGGGTAGGCTAAATTTGGAGATCTAAGATGACTCATATGTTTGGATGCATTAGTTTGAATATTAGTTTATTAAAATAAAATAATAAGATAGCAATAATTTATTGGGTGAATTTGCAAACTACTAATAAAAATGTGTGTAAATATAAACAAAATCGACGGACATATATAACAAATTAAAAAAATATATGTATTTCCTAATTGTGACTTAGCGACACAAAATATAGTCTTCACTATTTTCTCTTGAAAATAAACCGTATAAAACATTTATGTGTTAGTCTGGACTGCGGGGTCTGGCAATAGTGGTTTGGGTTGGACCTTTCAAACAGCTCAACATTCTTCTCTATCCAGCGGATCTACTTCACAGACCTTTATCCCTTCAGCTTTAGCGGCCGAGGCCCTCGGCGTTAAACATGCCTTATCTTCACCTCTTCTTCTTGAGCTCACTCACGTTCAAGTTTTCTCAGACTCTAAGACGCTTGTTCGCCTCTTTATTGCTAAAGAATCCACTGTTGAGTTGCGGAGAATTCTACATGATATTAGTCTTCTCTGCCTCCAGTTTATCTCTCTCTCCTTTCATTTTATTCCTCGTTCTTGTAATACCATAGCAGACTCTCTTGCCAAAGGGATCCTTGTCTCTCTAAACTTGTCCTCCGCCTATGAAGTGTAACTGCTTCTTTGCTTTAATTCAAGTATTGTTTCCCCAAAAAAAACACTTGTGTGTTAGTAAAAACACATCAATTATCTACTATAAGAACCACATAAAATCAGAAAGAATGGATTATTATCTCCGAACATATATATGTCGGTAACTTTGAGACTAAACCTAATGAATAAATCCAACCCAAAAAGCTTAATCATAAGGTAGGATCTACTTGAACCCCTAAAAACAAACAAAATGGAGAAATTGCGGTACATGAGAAAAACCATCGACATATACATTTTTGAGACAAAAAAAAACTTCATCGAACACTAAACAATTTAAGAAGAATACTATTGTTATTAATTAAAGGGAAGACCACTGGTCTATTACGCCATCTTTTAGCTGAAGATTTGCTAAGAGATATTCTTATATAAGAGATGCTCTTAGCAAATCTTAAAATAAAAGATGGCTTAAGAGACCATCAATAATAATTATCTATTGGTGAGCCTATATCCCGAGTAAGCATCACAATTATCATGATAAGTAACGACCATATCCAAAAAAAAACAACCGAAAAGACTGAGTTTTTTAGATCCAAAATTAAATCACCATAGTCTCGAAAAACTGAGTTTTTAATATAATTTTCTTGACTCTATACTGAAAAGAAATATAATTTTGTTTTAATTATATTTTTTGGAAAAAAACAATCAAGAACTTCTGAACATATACTACATTCTTCAAATCTAAAACCAAAGTATATTATATGATCTCGTTTAATTTTAAGAAACATTCATACCTATGATTGATACAAAAAGTTTCCGAGGAATATATTTTCACTTATCAAACAAGAACTTTTTTTTAAAACTATATGGTGGTGGGTTAGTGGTTTTCATCTGGTGAAAGAGTTTCTCTATTGATCTAGGGTAGAAATTAATTCTCTACAGTTGTAAATTGTTTATCATTTATCATATGGTCACATGGATATGGATCCTTGCTTTCGGTACATTTGAATATCCGGAAAAAGATTTATCTATAAGCTTTACATCTAAAAATTAGTATCGGATCTTTTCATAAGTTTAGGGATTTATTTTGAATTAACAAAAGAAACAAGAATTTTTGCCAAAAGAAAATTATACGAGAATTAAAAAAAGAAAGAAAAGACAAAGATTTATGAATACTAGGAATAACGTGTTGACTACTTCAGTAATCAGAACGTGCAATGTACCCATACACCAATGCATTTTTTAAATATATACAAAGATTTCTGTATTTTAACATTGTTCAACAAGATTTTATAGAGTTAGCATATAGGTTAATCCTAGTTTAGTATAAGATAAACTCTAAAACAAACTAGTTTTTTTTGGTCAAAAGCAATTCATGCAAATATATCACCGATAAATTCAGCTTATCATAAGAAAATCATATAAACATAAACAGAAACTTAAATGAGCCAATTCGTGCAAATATTTCAAAAAACTTTAGCAAATTTTGTTCTCTTTATTTCCTTTTCTTAAAAGTTTTTATATTATATTTTAAAAACGTTAGAGCGGTCGTCGTAAATCGAAATATAAATATATAAACAATTCACCGACATGCATGCAGACGTGCCAGCAAATAGCACAAGAACCAGTTTCTTCATGTTATGTTTGGGTTGAGTTCACACGGCTTTAGGAGCTTTGCACTGCACTGCACGACCACAAGTTGCAAAGCATCAATCGTCGTGAACACCACTCTTAATTTTGATTTTTTAATGCAATACTATGAACTAGGCCTATAAGGCTAAAACCTTTATTTACCAAACTCTGATTATTATCGTTACAATCGTTAAACCTATCTTATCCGTCTAGATTAATGAGTACTTCTTTAAAAGATCAGTTATCGGATTATTTTCCGTCTAATTTAATTACTCCCGCTTAATCCGATTATTTATAATTACAAATATCATACAATTTTTTTTATCGGTTATTAAACATTTAGATTGAGAATTTGACATGTTTTATAATAACTTATGTTTTAAATTTTAATAAAATCATAATTTTGGTTTTATTTGCTTACTACAATTTTGAAACTAATATTATAAAATTTTATATTTTATATTGTGTTTTTTATTTACAGAATTCGTACTATATATATATATATATATATATATATATATATAATGTATTTATTACTTTTTATTAATTTAATAAAATAGCCATAAAACAAGTGCTCTATTAATGTTACAAAAAAAAAAAAAAAAAAAACAAGTGCTCTATTAATCCTTGTCAATTTAGTAGCATGTTAGTTTCGACGTGTTGCTGCATTTCTAAATTTTTGTAACAAGAGAGACAAACAAAATAAAGTTCTATCGCATTGGAACAAAAGGCCCAATTTTAGAGGAGTAAAAGCTAATGTAGTGGACAGGCCCAGAAACAAAAGGGCCCAAAGTTTTTCTTTCCTTGTGATATATTTTGTCAGTCTTTCTATTTTTTTGTTTTTTTTTTTATTGTTTCTTTCTAATTTTGATTTGATCCCTTAAATGTAAACTGTGTAATTTAGAAGACACTAACAAACTTTACTATAAGTTGAATAACAAAAAATCACCTTTAAAAAGCTTCTACTTCATCTTCTTGGATTCTTGGTTTTTAAACAAATAAATGTATTATTTTATAGTTTTCCTTTAAATATCATATTTTTTTTATATACATATCAAATTTTTAATGAGAAATTCTTCATAATTCTATACTCTCAAATTTTGTTACAAAATATACAACTATTAGTTTAATATTCTAAAATACCACCAAAATTTTTGAGCTTCTCAAAATGCCACCATAACTTTTGAGCTTTTCAATATCTAAATTTTTTTGGTTTGGATTAACTATTTTAAATTTTGGAGGTATAATTTAGTTTTTAGAATTTCTATTTTATTTTTAAAAGTTAATTTTGATTTTTTTGGTATTTTTGAAAAAAATAAAACTTAAGTGGGACCTTTTTTTTTTACCAAACAATATTCAAATACAAAAAAAATCATGCACCATGCTTTATTTTTTTTTGGCACAATCATATTTTTGATATTAAAAAATCAATTCATTGTTGAAAAAAAAGAAGAAGCTATTCATTGTGTTTTATTCAAATTCAAAATAACTTGAAGTAAACAATTGTTATAAGTTAGATCTCATAAAAAAAAATGTTTCATTAATTTTACTATTTTAGAGCTGTCCAAAAGAATCCAAAAGAGATATGTCCCCTACCCACCCCAAGTGATATAATCTCTAGATCCTATAATATAGTCAATAAGGACTATTCTAGATCTTTTCTACTCATTACAAAATTAGCAAAATACTTGTAATAACATATATAACCTTAAACCTATAGAAATTTTTGATAAAATAAAAAAGTTTAGGTCTCTTTGTACCAAAAACGAATACTTTAAGTACCTTTCCGAATAATTCCAAAATTAACTGTTACACTTAAAAAAAAAACCAAAAAAAAAAATCTGAACAATTCTAGATATTATTATTCTCATTGAGTCTTGGTCTTCTTCTTCTTACCTCTCTCTCTCTCGTCTTCTATGGAAGAAGCTCAAGTGTTGGTTTAATTTATCATCCTCTTCTCATTAAAACCCTAATTACTTTTTTCTTCAATTTTTTCTTTCTCGATACTTCGATTTTGGTTAAAAATATGAGTCACGACGCTTCGATTTCAACAATCTTGTCTCTGTTATTACTAGTTTCACACTTGGCTTCTGCTAAGATTTTGTTGATCGGGAAAAACACGTCTCTCTCTTTCGATGACATCGAATCCAATTTCAGTAAGTTCTTGTTACTGTTCTATTCAATTCCACTTCTGTCGGGTTTTTTTTTTTTTTTTTTTTTTTGGTTTTGTCTCTCTAAATCACTGTAATGAAAATTTCATAACTCATGTAATGGAACGAAACTATGGAATTAGGGATTAGGGTTTTGATCGTATATCTTGAAAGTTTGAAACTTTGTTGTTAATTTTGAAATTTTCCAATTTGGAAGTGAGGAATTGGGTTTTGATCTTAGATGTTGAAAGTTTGAAACTTTATTGTCTTTTTTTCAAGTTTTGGTTGTTTTGAAACTTTCCAATTTGGAAGTGAGGAATTGGGGTTTGATCGTATATGTTGAAAGTTTGAAACTTTATTGTCTTTTTCAAGTTTTGGTTTGTTTTGAAATTTTCCAATTTGGAAGTGATGAATTGGGTTTTTGTTTGATTACAGCTCCGATGATTAAGAGATCAGATCAAGGAGGAGTGTTGTATGTAGCAGAGCCGCTTGATGCTTGTTCTGATTTGGTTAATACGGTGACTGTTGTAAATGGAACAAGTGTTTCTCCACCGTATGTGTTGATCATTCGCGGTGGCTGCAGTTTCGAAGAGAAGATTAGGAATGTTCAGAAGGCTGGATATAAAGCTGCTATTGTTTATGATTATGAAGATTATGGATTCTTAGTATCAAGTAAACACACATCTCTCCCTCTTGCTAGTTGTATTGTTTCTTTGTTTTGTGATTTGTTGCTTGAGATCAGTTTAGGTATCTAACAACTGAGGTCAGTTAGTATATAGTGGGAGTAGTTAATTAGAGGAGAGAGTATGGTGATAGGCATCATGAGATTGAGTTAGTGAAATGATTCTTTGGTTTGGTGTGTTCTTGATATTGAGTTTGTTCTTCATTTATTACATAGAAATGAAGGCATAAATTTGTTTTTAACATGTTTTAATAGTGTTGAGATCAGTTAAGTATAGCATTGGTTACCATAGATCTTCGGCATAGCTACTATAGACGATTATTCGCATAGCTACCATAGACAATCTTTGCATAAGATTGCTGCTTAGTTTCCATCTCAGGTATGTAACAACTGAGGTCAGTTAATGTAGAGTTGGAGTCGTTAATTAGAGGAATGGTGATGGGGATCATGAGATCGAGTTGTTGAAGTGGTTATTTGGTTTGGTGTGTTCTTGGCATTGAGTTTGTTTTTCAATTCTCATATAGAAATAGCATACAATTCTGTTTCTAACATATTTTTAATAGTGATGGCTAATGATGTTCTTGTGAAAATAATGTAGTGGCAGGAAACCCCTCTGGTGTACTTATTTATGGCACGTTTGTATCTAAAGCAACTGGGGAAACACTTAAAGGGTATGCGGGTCGTACTGATTTTGAAGTATGGCTTATGCCAAGCTTCGAGACTTCAGCGTGGTCAATCATGGCTATCTCTTTTATATCTCTCCTCGCCATGTCTGCTGTGCTTGCCACTTGTTTCTTTGTACGTAGGCATCGAGTTAGGCGCAGGCGTATTCTGTCTCTTAGTGGTAGTGACTTTCCTCGTATGGCTAAAAACTTGCTAAGACGTATGCCTATTACTATATTTAACGGTGTTTGCGATGAAGCGTCTACTTCTATCTCCTGCGCTATATGCATTGAGGATTATCGCATTGGAGACAAGTTAAGGATCCTGCCTTGCCATCACAGTAAGTGTTTTGACTCACTTTGAATTAGAAATAATTCATGCATAACCATTCTTACTTTGTGGTTGTTGTTGTCTTGGCAGAATTTCATGTTGGATGTGTAGACTTGTGGCTTGGCCAAAGGAGATCCTTTTGCCCGGTTTGCAAACGCGATGCAAGAAGCATCAGCATCGATATGCCCGCATCAGAGCACACACCCTTGCTTTCTCCTAGCATGACCCCGACCTCATCGTTTCTCTTATCGTCACCTTCCACAACCCCATTGCAGTCATCTTATGAGCTACCAATATCTATCAGAGTAGACCCTTCTTCACCGTCCACCTCAATGCAGCCACACACAGTACCTATGTACCTCTCTCACTCTCGCTCCCACACAAGCTTCCAAAATGGGTCATACCGGCGTTCCCTGGCTATACCAGTCAGCCGAAGTTCAGCAGATCTGAGGAACGCCATTTCCCAAAGATCTTACAACTCACCCGGCCAGGGTTCTTTGCCTCGTTCCCTCCACTCAAGATATACGCACATACTTAGCCCCGGAAATGCATCAAGGAGCTGGGTTGTTGGGTCGTTAACGAGCCAGCGCGAGTTTTCAGTTCTCCAAAACGACTCGCGCAGGTGTTTCGCTCACTTTTCGTCTGCGAGCTCTCTACCAGGCTGCTAAACCGCTAAAAAGGTAAAACCGTACTAACCAAAAGCTACGATGCTGGGGCACATTGCTTTGAAAAAGCAGTTAACTCCTCAAGGAATGAGGATGTTCCTCGGCTACGATATAACTCTAATTCGTGACCATGCTGATTTTGGTAAACAATAGAGTTGAAAGAGTGTTCAGTGTGAGTGATATTCTTCAGCTGTACAGTTGTGAAGAATGATGAATGTGAGAGTGAGTTTGAAGAGTAAAGCATGTTTTTGTGATTCATTAAACTAACCATGGAGTGTGGGTATATATAACTAGCATATCACTTTGGTTCTTCGTCTGTATATACTTCTGTTTCTCTTCCAACAGTTGAACCATTTACGAAGAAATTATACCGCATATGAAATATTTACTGATGTACATAGACTGTTTTGACACAAAGGTCAAGTGTATGTAAGTGTTAGAAACTAAAGTAAGACAAGTAATGGCACCAATGAAACACTCAAAGTATCTGTATTAGCCAAAACGCAGTGACGTCGTTTTAAACTGTCTGGTTCGTACCTCAATAACCCATTGTCCAACTCTATCTCTGGTCTCCAAGACTTTTCTATTACTCTTGGCTTGACCTTGAGGCCGCACGATCTCTCATAGGAAAAAAGGAGAAGTGCTCTATGTTTGCTTAAACCTAGATAACAATCTACCTGATTCGAACTTTCCCTAGCTCCCAAACCGAAATTGATATCAATTCCTTCATTTCCTAACTTTCCTCACCAACATGCCAGTTCCTCAAATGTGTCTCAGTTGGTTCGGTGATCTCCTTAATCGGCAGATGCATAGAGGAAAATAGAAGAAGTAGGAGAGTGTTTCTTCTCGATTGTAGATCTCATCAATGGCGTCAACTTCCCAAGATGAGTGTGTTTTTCGAAAAAGAAGCAGATGTTAATGTTCTCGACGGTAAGATAGATGTGTTTGGAGGGTGTCACCGAGAATTGTGGGGAAGTTTACCACACAAAGAAAAAAACTTGGTATCCCAAGGGAAAGGGTAGACATTTTTATCGCGGTATAATGAGGTTTTGGTTTGAGCTCGACTGTTTGCTTCATTGCTTGTTAGAGGTAGACAGTGACATATGGTTCAGGGCGAGGGTTTCCAAAACTAGGAAGCTAGTCTGTGGTGGTACATGCTAGTGTTTTTGAACCGTTCATGCAAAATAAAAAGAAGTTATAATTCATCCACAAAGCTAATCATACAAATAAAAGAAATTACAATTCCTCCATACAAATTTCTTCTAATCACACAAAAAGTAGTAACAACATTCACATACCAACCACAAGAGTTGTAGAATCCTCAAGTTTCCTTTACGTTTGGTATAACCCATTGCATACCTGCAACATGAGTTTTGACAATTCGATATGAAACATTATTAGATCCAAAACTATAGAAAGAGATGTACTGTGGTAGACTTGGGCATATCGAGAAAATTCTCAGTACCTGAAGAGGGTGTAGGAATTATGATGTGGTGGTTGTGACAGAATCGGGGATAGACTCGTGCCGAAGCTCCTTCACAACAGTAGCTAGAGCCTCAGGGTTAACACCAAGATCACAAAGAGCTATGAGAACTGACAAAGTATGCCGGTCCAGTCCCGTGTCCAAGATGTTTGACATGCGAAACACAAGCTCTAGCGACTCTCTTGCAGTCCGAGATGCCTCCTCATCCATATTGATCAGGCCTGTTCAAACCCACAATCTGAAGTCCATAAGGTTACCAAATTATGGAGTTATAACAACCATATTAGAGGAGAAAAGTTTTATCTGATCAAAGTCATTTAATAAGTCAATCAGATAAGCCACAGTTTGTATCAGAGAACCATGACCAACCAAACGCGAATATAAAGACTCTTAGGCAATATGGACATAAGAAGTTAGGAACATTGCTTCAAACTTGGGAAGGTTCAGAGTTCAGTCAGAATACCAAAACATCATAACATATACTAAGTAATCATTTTCATTATAGTTGATGCATCTCTACTCAAAATCAGAATCCAAAGGTGTTGATGAACTAACAAAAACTTCAACTGTAAACACCTCAAGAATTCGACAAATGTTAAAAGCCAAAACTGGTTGGAAGCAAAGAGAAGACATATATTCAACTGTTCAACAACACATAGCTCGGATATAACGCTAAATTCATGCTCATAGCCTGGTCAATTGCAGTGAATTCATTCCATGGATTCAACAAATTTATCCTCTCATACCACAATAACTTAATTTTGAGCTTAAAGATTAGAACCTCAAAAATACAATCTTTTTTTCCACAAGAGATACATAACATCAATTACACTATCCTGATACTAATGAACAGTCTCAAGTTATACATCAAACTCCTACAGATACAAGTTCTACAGATACATTAAACTTCAATTGTAAACACCTCAAGATTTCCACAAAATGTTAAAAGCCAAAACTGATCGGAAGCAAAGAAGTTACATATTCAACTCTTCAATTTCAAATAGCTCGGATATTACGTTAAATTCATGCCCGTAGACAGGTCAATTGCAGTGAATTCATTCCATGGACTCAACAAATTTATCCTCTCATACCACAAAAACTTAACTTTGAGCTCAAAGATAACCTAAAACCTCAAAAAAATACAAACTTTACTCTCACAAGAGATACATAACATCAATTACACTATCCTGATACTAATGAACATACTCAAGTTATACATTAAACTTCTACAGATACAAGTTCTAAACCAAAGAGTCAAGATTTAAGATCAAGACTAAAAAGGTTTTAGCTTTCCAATGAAAGTTTTGTTTTTTCAAATACCTGTGGCAACTAAACCAAGTCTAAAGCTAATAGCTTTGCAGAGAACATACAATACAATACCCAACAAATGACTAATCAGATCTATCTGTATCTCCCTATACACAAAGGTGATTCAAATTTGCTTTAGAACCCAATACAAATTTCTCAATATAACTTTCTGAAACCATTGATGTTAACCTGAAACGTAACTGATTCCTCTAAACAGATCAAATCGAATGCCAAAAACAGAACACTACCCAGAAACATTGAATAGAAAAGGAAAAAAAAATGTATCTCAGGTGAAATTGAGAATGATTGCATTACTGGGTTCGATCAATAAATGTCGAATTCGAGGAAGAAGATAAGAAAACTTACGATTTTAGAAATCGAATACAAAAAAGTATGAAGCTTTGGAGACAGTCACAGTGAGACGGAGGAGACGGAGAAGAGAGAGTGTTTTGATTTTACTTTAGGTTTCTTCGGTTTAACGGATTGATACGGTTAGTGATTGTTTAATTTTTATTTTAAAGAGTGAACAAATATATAGTTTCTTAAAAATATTTTAGTCATTAAATTTCAAAATTAAATAATGTTTAATCTAAATGTAACACTATGATTGTAACGAAATGAATCATATACTAATGAAAAGAAAAATGAATAAAAATTGATTAAATCTATCTTAATACTTTTTAAGTACATTTTGCTCAAAAAATATTTTTTTTTACATATGTTACAATAACAATTTAAATTTTTTTTACATATGTTACAATTTGAAATTTTTAAAGCGGACATACATTACTCGATTGACAAAAATTAAGTGTATGTACAACGTCCCACATCGGCTAAAATATTTTTTGCAATAGTTAAGATCATTATAAATAGGCATGTCAATTAGGCCTAAAGCCCGCGGGCTAGTTTGGCCTGGCCCTGAAAAACATCGGGTTCGGGCTTAAATATATATGTTCAGAAAAAGGGGCTTTTTGGGTTAAGCCCATTCGGGCTAAACGTTTTTTGGGCTTAACCCGGTCGGGCTCGTACCGGCCCAGAAAGCCTTTAAACAAATATATATTTTTTTAATATTTTAGTTTGATTATAAGATTTGATTAATGAATTAGTTTTCATATTTACTTACTAGCCTTACTTATTACTTTTAAAATCTTTATCTATAATATTTTCTATTATTTATAAATGTTAAAACTGAACAAAGCTAAAACTAAATATATATATAAGTATCTTGATTTTGAAATCATCAAAATATATATTAAATTTTGACTCTATCATCTACTTTAAAGTATTTTAGTCCATGTTTTATTAGGTAAAGTGTAAATAATTTATTTGGTTTTCTTTTTTTTTTCTCTTAAATTAAGTTAGTTTGATTGAATATTGATAGTTATTTAAAATTTGATGCATTATTTTTATAGTAAACCTTTAAATATTGTTTTTGAAAAACTATTATGAACCTAGAAATTGATTTTATTATCGGTAAGTAAAGCCCAAAAAAGCCTGGAAAGCCCTGTAGCCCTGTTAGGGCCGGGCCGGGCTTTGAAATATAGGCTCAGAAATTTTTTGGGCCGGGCTGGCATATATGAGGGCTTTACGGGTTTCGAGCCGGGCAGGACTAGCCCGATTGAAATTGGATTTATTCTTATTAAATGACATACAGTATATTGAACATTTGTTGGGCCAAGAATATACAATTAAACAACATCCCTACTATAGTAAAAGAGAAGTACACAAGTTTCTCAGGTCGGGTTTTGAAAAGAAATTAACCTAGAATTTTCAAAGAATCCTTTAAAATCGGATATTTAATTGGGTTTGGTTATAAATTCGGATAATTTCCCTGCAAATTATATTACTTTTAAATCCAAATTTGGGTTTCCTAATATTACTCTAACTAATTAAAAAAAAAAATATTTAAAACAAATATTATTCTCCTTTCATCTTAACTTGATCTTATTTGTAATTTATTATATTACAATATATAATATAAATGTATAATAAAAATTTAACATTTTTTTTACATATGTTGCAATTTAAAATTTTCAAAGCGGACATACATTACTCGATTGACAAAAATTAAGTGTATGTACAACGTCCCACATCGGCTAAAATATTTTTGGCAATAGTTAAGATCATTATAAATAAGACCAACATGCTTCGAACTACGATGAACAGTAAACTTGATTTATCATGCATCCAAATTTAAAAGTTTTATTTGGTATAAACCGGTTCTAAGTTTGAGCAAATTAAATTTTTTTAAGAGCTTCAAAATATCATAAGAGTTAAATTTTAAAATGTATAAAATACTATAAATGTTAAAAAATCAAATATTATAAATATTAACTGATAATTTTGCAATGGGTCAGAACATATATTAAAATTATTTATAATTTTGCAACAGGTTAGAATATAATACGGGAAAACGGGGAAAATCAAATCTTACATAAATATGATTTCAAATTATATGGAAAAATTATTCACTTTTAGTGAACACTTATTATTAAAAAAACATGTTAATTATGTACCCACCAAAATTTAAACTATATGGATTAACGAAATCAGAATAATAACCCCTCATTCTCAATTGCAACTATCTAATCAATAATATTTATTTATCATGAAAATTATCAACACAACTAGAAAAATTTCTCACTAGGAAACTGTTTTCGTTAATAAAAAAAGAGCGATTTGCATAACTAAACTTCTTATGATACCATTTTCTACAAGTACCCTCTCTAGCTGTCTATTTTCAAAAATACCTTTTTTAATGTACAAAATGACTAAATTACCCTTCTTTATTATAACCCATGATGAAGAAAGGAATATTCTTTCCAACAAAAAGAATATTTCTTCCAACAAAAAGAATATTTCTTCCGAAAATTTTCCCGCCAAGAAAAATTTTCCCGCCAAAAAATTTCTAACAAAACTTTTCCGCAATTCCTTAAAAAATCTTTTAAAAATCCTTGTAAATATTTTTAAATCCCTTAATAAATCCTTTGAAATACCTTGTAAATCTTTTAAAAGTCATCCAATACCTTTCAAAACTTGAGTAAACCTTTTACAATCATTGTTAATCATTTTATAACATTTATAAACACTTGTAAATCCCTTTAAACCCCTTATAACCGTGATAAATCATTTAATAAAAGCTTTTATAAACTTCTAAATCCCTTTAAAAACCCTTGTAAATCCTTAAAAACCATTTTAAAGAACTTGTAATACATTTAAAAACTTTTGTAAACCCATTAAAAACCTTTGTAAAGTTCTAAAATTCTTTAAACCCCCTTGTAAGTCCTTTAAAACCATTTTTAAATCTTTGTATGCCTTTAAATACACTTGTAAATCCTTTTAAAAACACTTGTAAATCCTTTTTAAAAACCTTTAAAAATCCTTATAAATTTTTAAAATCCTTTAAAAATCCTTGCAAATCCTTTTAAAACTGTTATAAACTTGTAAAAACTTTTAAAAACCATTGTAAATCCTTTAAAAACCATTTCAAAACCTTTGTAAGCTTCTAAAACCCTTTAAAAACCATTACAAATCTTTTAAAAACCATTTAAAAACTCTTGTAAATCCCATTAAAAACCCTTGTAAACCCTTTAAAAAATCTTTTAAACCCTTTAAAAAATTTGGCGGGAAAATTTTGTAAAAATATTTTTTTTTGCGGAAATTTTTTTGGCGGGAAAATTTTTCTCGGAAACTTTTTTGGCAGGAAATCTTTGGGGGGAAAATTTTTTGAAGGAATATTTTTTCAACTAGGACTAAAATGGTCATTACAATTTAAAGGAGGGCAAAAATGAAAATGGCATAAAGAGAGTATTTTTAAAAGAGGGTATCATAAAAAGGTTATTGATATCCATTTCTCAAAAAAATAAGTCAAAACTTTTCCTTCGTGCTGTAGCGCGGGTCCGACTTTAGTCTATACTATTAAAAGGGAAGGACAAAGTGTATCCAAACAGACCAAAAAAAAAATTAAAAAAAAATGTGATTCCAAACCTGTTGCCAAACAGAATTAATGACAGCAAAAATAACTAAATAAAAACTAAAAGTTATCTATATTTAATAGTATAGACTAAAAATATTTTAAAAACCATATTTAATAGTAAAAAAAACTAAAAATTATCCATTACAAATCTTTTAAAAACCATTTAAAAGTTCTTGTAAATCCCATTAAAACCCTTGTAAACCCTTTAAAAAATTTTGTAAACCCTTTAAAAAATTTGGCGGGAAAATTTTGTAAAAATATATTTTTTTGCGGGAAAATTTTTGCGGAAATTTTTTTGGCGGGAAAATTTTTCTCGGAATCTTTTTTGGCAGGAAATCTTTGGGGGGGCAATTTTTGGAAGGAATATTCCTTCCCTTTTGGGAAGGAATATTTTTTCAATTAGGGTTAAAATGGTCATTACAATTTATATGAGGGAAAAAATGAAAATGGCAAAAAGAGGTATTTTTAAAAGAGGGTATCATAAAAAGGTTATTGATATCAATTTCTCAAAAAAATAAGTCAAAACTTTTCCTTCGCGTTGTAGCGCGGATCCGTCTCTAGTCTATACTATTAAAAGAGAAGGACAATGTGTATCCAAATAGACCAAAAAAAAAATTAAAAAAAAATGTGATTCCAAACCTGTTGCCAAACAGAATTAATGACAGCAAAAATAACTAAATAAAAACTAAAAATTATCTATATTTAATAGTATAGACTAGAAATATTTTAAAAACCATATTTAATAGTAAAAATAACTAAAAATTATCCATTACAAATCTTTTAAAAACCATTTAAAAACTCTTTTAAATCCCATTAAAACCCTTGTAAACCCTTTAAAAAATCTTGTAAACCCTTTAAAAAATTATGCGGGAAAATTTTGTAAAAATATTTTTTTTTGCGGGAAAATATTTGCGGAAATTTTTGCGGGAAAATTTTTCTCGGAAACTTTTTTGGCAGGAAATCTTTGGGGGGAAAATTTTTGAAAGGAATATTCCTTCCCAAAGGGAAGGAATATTTTTTCAACTAGGGCTAAAATGGTCATTACAATTTAAAGGAGGGCAATAATGAAAATGGCAAAAAGAGATTATTTTTAAAAGAGGATATCATAAAAAGGTTATTGATATTCATTTCTCAAAAAAATAAGTCAAAACTTTTCCTTCGCGCTATAGCGCGGATCCGACTCTAGTCTACACTATTAAAAGAGAAGGACAATGTGTATCCAAACAGACCAAAAAAAAATTAAAAAAAAAATATGATTCCAAACCTGTTGCCAAACAGAATTAATGACAGGAAAAATAACTAAATAAAAACTAAAAATTATCTATATTTAATAGTATAGACTAGAAATCTTTTAAAAACCATATTTTAATAGTAAAAATAACTAAAAATTATCCATTACAAATCTTTTAAAAACCATTTAAAAACTCTTGTAAATCCCATTAAAACCCTTGTAAACCCTTTAAAAAATCTTGTAAACCCTTTAAAAAATTTGGCGGGAATATTTTGTAAAAATATTTTTTTTTGCGTGAAAAGATTTGCGGAAATTTTTTTGGCGGGAAAATTTTTCTCAGAAACTTTTTTGGCATGAAATCTTTGGGCGGAAAATTTTTGGAAGGAATATTCCTTTCCTTTTGGGAAGGAATATTTTTTCAACTAGGGCTAAAATGGTCATTACAATTTAAATGAGGGCAAAAATGAAAATGGCAAAAAAGAGGTATTTTTAAAAGAGGGTATCATAAAAAGGTTATTGATATCAATTTCTCAAAAAAATAACTCAAAACTTTTCCTTCGCGCTGTAGCGCGGATCCGACTCTAGTCTATACTATTAAAAGAGAAGGACAATGTGTATCCAAACAGACCAAAAAAAAAATTAAAAAAAAATGTGATTCCAAACCTGTTGCCAAACAGAATTAATGACAGCAAAAATAACTAAATAAAAAGGGTTGACGGTTTTTTTCCCCCTCTACTTGTAGCATTCTCAGCTTTCCTACACAAACCTTTTGTCTCTTAAAATACCACCATCAAAAACTATTTTCTTCACAAAACTACACAAATTATTTTTTTGGTGCATAAAACTACATATCTAATCAATTTAGGATTTATGATGTCTAAACCGTTTTTAACCATAAAATAGCGTTTATTGTATCGCTATCGTTTTGTCAATTTTCTTCTTTTAAAACAAAAAGGGTTTTGACGTCGCTTATTGGTTTTTGAATGAAGTTAGGTTTCTCAAATCGAGAACTGGGGATTTTAGGTTTGTTGAACCAAAATCAACAATTTTGATTCCAAGTTAAAGAAGAATGATAGAGAAAGTGCCTTGCAAGATCAGAATGATAGAGAAGAACAATAGAGAACGTGGAGATGACGAGGGAAACATGGAGAATGATAGAGACGATGATGGTGAACTTAAATCTAATCCGGTAAGACTAAGAAAGAGGAGTAGAAACAAATATTTGGGAGAAGATGATGGAGAAGCCGATCAAGAAGACGCTGGAGATGTTCAGGATAAGAAAAACAGAAGGAGATCCAAAGAAGAAGATGAAGAAGACATAATGGAAAGGTTTGAGTATGAGGTAGAGGAAGCTGTAGCAGACTGGTACGATGAGTTCCAGATTCGTCGTAATAATATTCCTGATAGCTCGGATGAAGACGAGGATCCGGTAATTACTAGGGATAGGAAGATTAGGTTGGGAACAAATGATAAATTGGTTATTGGTCGAACTTTCATGACTGGTTTTGAGTTCAAAGAGACTGTTTTGCATTATGCATTGAAGAATAGAGAAAATCTTAGACAAGATAGGTGGGAGAAGAACAAAATCAGCTTTAGGTGTGCTCATAAGAAGGGTTGTGGTTGGTATGTCTACTGCTCATATGAAGAGTCAAAACAACTATGGGTTTTGAAGACTATATGCACTGATCATAGTTGCACTTCTAATGGAAAATGCAAGTTGCTTAAGAGTCCAGTGATTGGAAGGTTATTCATGGACAAGCTGAGATTGAAGCCTAATTTTATGCCTCTTAAAATTCAGCGGCATATTAAGGAGCAATGGAAAATAGTGAGCACTATTGGACAAGTTCAAAGAGGAAGAATTCTAGCATTAAAGTGGCTAAAAGAAGAATATGGCAAACAATTTTCTCACCTCCGAGGTTATGTTGCTGAAATTATGAACTCAAACAAGGGATCAACTGCTTTTGTTGACACCACTTCTAATGCGGCTGGAGAAGATGTGTTCAACCGAATTTATGTATGTCTTGGAGCAATGAAGAATGCATTTTACTATTGTAGGCCAATCATTGGAATTGATGGAACCTTCTTGAAGCATGCGGTTAAAGGTTGTTTATTGACTGCTATTGGTCATGATGCAAATAACCAGATTTACCCAGTTGCTTGGGCATGTGTTCAAGTTGAGACTGCAGACAACTGGCTTTGGTTTCTAAATCAGCTTAGTGTTGACTTGAATTTAAAAGATGGGAGTAATTATGTTATTTTATCAGATCGCTGCAAGGTATTTCTTTTTTGGTTGTATAATAAAGTGGTAAAGTTTTAACTGACTTTTTACTAGTATAATAATGCGACTTTTTTGTTTGGTTTTTGAAGGGAATCATAAGTGCAGTTAAAAGTGACATGCAAATAAAGACTTATTGAAGAAGTTGGTGTGGAACTTAGCTTGGAGCTACAACCATGCTGACTATCAAAATAATTTGAATGAGATGAGAGCATACAGCATGTCTTTGTATGAGGATGTGATGAAGGAGGAACCAAAGACTTGGTGTAGACCTTTTTTCAAGATAGGCAGTTGTTGTGAGGATGTAGACAACAATGCCACTGAGTCTTTTAATGCCACAATCGTCAAAGCAAGGGCAAAAGCATTGGTTCCAATGATGGAGACAATAAGAAGACAAGCAATGGCACGTATAAGTAAGAGAAAACAGAAAATAGTAAAATGGAAGAAGAAGATATCTGAGTATGTATCTGATATATTGGAAAACGAGGAGGAAGACGCTATGAAATGTGAAGTCACAAAAGGAACACATAATAAGTTTGAAGTTTGGATAGATGGAAATTCACAAGGTGTGAATTTGACTACTGGAAAATGGGAATGCTCATGTTGCAAGTGGCAAGTCACAGGGATTCCATGTGAACATGCCTATGCAGCAGTCATAGATGTTGGTAAGAATGTTGAAGATTTTGTTAGTCCATTCTTTGGGTCTCAAGTCTGGTTAGAACAATATGAGACAGGTCCTGATCCAGTGAGAGGTCAACGATTTTGGATGACCAACAACTATGTCTTAATGAAAGCACCTCCAGAACCAATTCCACCGGGTAGAAAGAAAGGACAAAAGAAAAGGTATGATCGGATCAAAGGTAAGCTCGAGTCTCCAAAGAAGAAGAAGAAGAAAGAGGAACCAGAGATACTCAAACTAGGAAGGAAAGGAAGGATAATGCATTGTAGATCCTGTGGTGAAGCTGGACACAATGCAGCTGGATGTCTGAAATTTCCTAAGGAGAAGAAGAGTAAGAAGAGTAAGAAGCAGGACACCATGCAACCAGCTGAGGCATGTTTCTAATCTTTTTTTCATTCGTTGTGTTTGGCTTGCGGCTGTTTCTTTTCTTTTTTTGTATTTGTCTGTTTTTTTTTTCTTTTGTGTCTGTTTTCTTGTCTATGTTTGTGTTTGGTTTGTTTGCAGGTTTTGGTGTCTGCAAATTTTGTGTTTGTAGGATTTTTTTTACTGTTTTTATTGTCTGTAGATTTTGTGTTTTGTGTTGTGTCTGTTTTTCTATGGCTGCAGGTTTTTACTTCTGTTTTTAGTGTCTACAGATTTTGTTGTGTGCTGCAGGTTTTGTTGTGTCTGTTTTTTTTTGTAAATTGCAAGTTTTTGTGACTGTTTTTATTGTTGCAGGTTTTGTGTTGTGTCTGTTTTTTTGTGGCTGCAGGGGTTTTACTTCTGTTTTTAGTGTCTACAGATTTTGTTGTGTGTTGCAGGTTTTGTTGTGTCTGTTTTTTGTAAATTGCAGGTTTTTGTGTTGTGTCTGTGTTTGTTTTTGTGTTGTGTCTGTTGTTTTTGTGTCGCTTACATTCTTTTTTTTTTCTTTTCCTTTGTATGTGCAGGTTTTAAGCGTAGGATTTGAAACACTCACACAAACAACTCAAGAACCTGAAAAACTTACACAAACTCAAGGACCTGAAACACTCACACAAGGAAGCAGCCAATGGGAGTCCTAACTATATATTTTAAGTGTGGTTTTTTATCTTTGTCTTTTGGATTTGGCTAATGTAATGAGATCATTTTATCTCTTTTTGGATTTTGATTCTCGGATTTGGATGTATTTTGTTCTGATTCAGTTGTAAACCTTATTCGGATTCAAATGAAACCTTTTTGATACGAGTCATTCATTCCAACATCATCCGAACCAGCCAAAGAGGCATTTGTCAAAATATCTTTTAATCTGTTGCTTTGCCAAGACTCAGCATTCAAGACAGAGGTGACATTAGCTCGATAAGAATTATTCTTTTCTCTTACGTTATTGTCACACAGTTCCTGCTTCACCGCAAGCACATGGGAAGAAGCTCTGCTATTCACCGGTGCAGAGTCTTCCAAACCTCCACTCACACTCTGAGCAGGACTGCGAACCCCATTTGGAACCTCGAGAGTATTTTCAGATGTCAAACTTGATTGAGAAATTTTCTCAGAAGGGACGTTCCTTTGTGATGCGAAGCTCATGGTTTTTTCTGGAAATTTGATGCTCAAGCCGATGAAGAACAAAACCTAAACCCCCAAATCAATTTTTGTTTTAAAAAAAAGACAAAAACGTTGTTGTTGCGTTCTTGTAAAATTATGATACTAGTAAACGCTATTATGGTTAAAAACGGTTTAGACATCATAAATCCTAAATTGATTAGATATGTAGTTATATGCACCAAAAAAATAATTTGTGTAGTTTTATGAAGGAAATGGTTTTTGATGTTGATATTTTAAGGGACACAAAGTTTGTGTAGGAAAGATGAGAATGCTACAAGTAGAGGGGGAAAAAAACTGCCAACCCAAATAAAAACTAAAAGTTATCTATATTTAATAGTATAGACTAGAAATCTTTTAAAAACCATATTTAATAGTAAAAATAACTAAAAACTATCCACTACAAATCTTTTAAAAACCATTTAAAAACTCTTGTAAATCCCATTAAAACCCTTGTAAACCCTGTAAAAAATCTTGTAAACCCTTTAAAAAATTTAGCGGGAAAATTTTGTAAAAATATTTTTTTTTGGGGGAAAATATTTGCGGAAATTTTTTTGGCGGAAAAATTTTTCTCGGAAACTTTTTTGGCAGGAAATCTTTGGGGGAAAAATTTTTGGAAGGAATATTTCTTCCCTTTTGGGAAGGAATATTTTTTCAATTAGGGCTAAAATGGTCATTACAATTTAAAGGAAGGCAAAAATGAAAATGGCAAAAAAGAGGTATTTTTAAAAGAGGGTATCATAAAAAGGTTATTGATATCAATTTCTCAAAAAAATAAGTCAAAACTTTTCCTTCGCGCTGTAGCGCGGATCCGACTCTAGTCTATACTATTAAAAGAGAAGGACAATGTGTATCCAAACAGACCAAAAAAAAAATTACAAAAAAATGTGATTCCAAACCTGTTGCCAAACAGAATTAATCACAGCAAAAATAAGTAAATAAAAACAAAAAATTATCTTTATTAAATAGTATAGACTAGAAATCTTTTAAAAACCATATTTTAATAGTAAAAATAACTAAAAATTATCCATTACAAGTCTTTTAAAAACCATTTAAAAACTTTTGTAAATCCCATTAAAACCCTTGTAACCCCTTTAAAAAATCTTATAAACCCTTTAATAAATTTGGCGGGAAAATTTTGTAAAAATATTTTTTTTTGCGGGAAAATATTTGCGGAAATTTTTTTGGCGGGAAAATTTTTCTCGGAAACTTTTTTGGCAGGAAATCTTTGGGGGGAAAATTTTTGGAAGGAATATTTTTTCAACTAGGGCTAAAATGGTCATTACAATTTAAAGGAGGGCAAAATTAAAATGGCAAAAAAGAGGGTATTTTTAAAAGAGGGTATCAAAAAAAGGTTATTGATATCAATTTCTCAAAAAAATAAGTCAAAACTTTTCCTTCGCGCTGTAGCGCGGATCCGACTCTAGTCTATACTATTAAAAGGGAAGGACAAGGTGTATCCAAACAGACAAAAAAATTTTTTTAAAAAAATGTGATTCCAAACCTGTTGCCAAACAGAATTAATGACATCAAAAATAACTAAATAAAAACTAAAAATTATCTATATTTATGGAAAATATAATTTGTTGCCATAAAAAAGTAGAAAAATAAATTCAAAATTTTACATATGTAAACAATAATTTATATTTAATAAAACCTTATAAAACAAATCATCATATATATATTTTTTAAAATGATATTTTAGGGGAAAAAATAGCATAAAAAGTGTATACATGATCAACATAATTGATTATATCATAAAAATTTAAAATCTGAAACAAATAATTAAAAATGTTTAAATACAAAATCTTAAATAAATCAATAATAATTGCTTTTTTCTAAAATCAATCATATTAATATTTCATATCACATACAATCTCTTATTTTCACATTAAAAGTCTTCAATTTGAAAAGCAATCTCGCAAATATAGAAAACAATAAACCTTTTAAAAAATATTGATTAAAAATGAGATATTAATCCATTTCCTTAAAATAAAACAAAATAAAAAAATAGCATGTGACCGAAACCGTTAAATACACATTCCTTATTATTAACATCAATTTAATAATATATTAACCTCCAATCTCGCTGGATATTAACTAGTATGCAACTAGCATTTAATAATTTTAGAAAAGTTTAGGAAATCATATCATACGATTATTATATTTTCTCTATAATATAACATTGAAAAACCATTAAAAAAAATTAGACAGTTAGTGTATTCTACAAATGAATAAATAAAATCGAATAATTATGATTTAAAATGGAATAAAATAGTTATTTTAATTTCCTTTACTTAACCGTATCTTACTAATTATATTACCATAGCTACTTACCAAAATATTTAGTATATACTTTACTCAATTGATTCACTTCTTTTTGAAGATTTAAACCAAGATAAGTTCGTAGTTTATAAATGTGATTCTTTGGTTACATTTCTTTAAATTTTGTGGTAATAATTTTTTGATAAATTTTGAGACATAAATTTTGAATAACTTGCTGGAAAAAATTGATAGTTATAGTTAGTTTAAAAGTCAAATTTAATACCGGATTTTTAGCAATTCTAGGAATTGTAGAAGTTGTATTTATTGTATGAAATAAATTATAATAAACAAACAAGATTAACTCAGATTTTTAAAAGTGCATTGTTTACCTTTATATGATATAATAAATAAAATAAAAAAGAGAAATCTAATAATTATAAAAAAGAGAAATCGCAAAATTTATGTTCATCGCATGAAATGATCGAATCCGACTGAGAGACAAAACCATAAACTCATGATGACAATAACTTTGAAAGAGATTCTATCTACTTATAATACAAAGACATAACATTATATAAAATTATAATGAAAAAAACACGTGCAAAAACTAGATTATATAAACCAACTACAAATATATTAAATTATGGACCTATAGTGTACCACGGGATAAATCCTAGTTAGGATAAAGTATAAACCATACTTTTTAAAATGTGTTTTTATATATATTTATGTTAATAGTCTGAACATAAATATGTTTGATTAGATATCAAATAACACTCTAATTATGAAGTTTTTTCAGATCGGAATTCTTTAGATACAATATATTGATAAACAATCCAAAATATTTGGAGTTCTAACCAGTTCAAAATAGATGTCATATCAATTAAATAGTCCAACTCACAATTTTAAAAACTTAACAAAATGCAAATTAATTTATCAAAAACTTATTACCTATAAGCTGTATATAGCACTTCATTCTCACTTCCTCTTTATGAAGCATATATAATTGTTCTTTAGCACTTCTTCATCCCCAGTTCCTTTTCTATATGTTTTAAAAAGCTTTGTAAGCTTACTCTCAAAGAAATCTCTTTTTTTCAGGTCAACTATAGGGATCAAGTTCATCCTCTAGAGGGATCAAATTTTAACTTTTTCAGGCTTAAAAAGTTAAAATTTCATCAAAGGATCCAAAACCTCCCCCTTGTGCAAGAATTACACTATATTCCTCCCAATATTTATCAAATTCCATTTTTCGTTTTAAAAATGATCTCTCGAGTTACCTTATCTTCGTTGTATTGGTGCACTTCCAAAACATGTCCAAAATATAAATTGAAAGTTGAGTGACTTCTCCCCGACATAAAAATAGTAATCTTGTAAAATGGCATCAAAACGTCTTGGTCTTTGCTCTTTTCCATTCTTCAATTGAGAGACAATGCTTGTAGTTTCTATCAATTATCTTAAATCTATTCAACGCATGATGATACTTTAAAGCTATTGTAAGCATCCAAAGATAGAAGCATTTCCTCTTCATATAGTTTGTGTATCCAAAGATAGAAGCATTTCCTCTTCACCTTCTAATATATTTAATCGTGATCTTAGACTGCATCATCATTCACAAGCAAACTGTTTTGCACACTTTAATATTTTTTTCCAAAAACACCACAAAAATGTTATTTTTCTAGAAACACCACAAAATATTTATTTTCCAAAATCTCAAAACATATTTAGTTTTTCTAAAAATATCATAAATATAAAAATTGATTTTTGAAAATGTCGAGTTTATTTTTCCTTGGTTAGGTTGACTATTTTGTATTTAAGATATAGTTTTCAGAGGTAAGATTTAGTTTTTAGGATTCCAACACTAGTTTTGAATGTTAAAAATATAGTTTTAGTTTGGTGGTACTTTTGGAAAAAAAAATATTTAATATTATTTTTTGAAATAAAACTCATATTTGTATTTTTTTTTAAATACTTATCTTAATGTTATTTATGAAATATGTTTTAATGTTTTTGGGGGAATTTCAAAAATACCCTTTTTCAAATACCACTTTTTAAAAATACCCCTCATTCTAATTTTATCAAAAAGTCACTATAAAATTTGAAATTTATCAAAAATATATGTGTAAACTTATATTTATAGACACAAATTATCTTTACATGTGTGTAATTTATATATATATATATATTTCACAAATACTGTATAAATACCTTTTAAAAATTATTTAAAACCTTAAAAAACCTTTTAAAAATTATTTAAAACCTTATAAAAACTTTGCAAACCTTTTAAAAACCTTATAAAAATCTTATAAATGCCGTTTATAACCTTTTAAAAGCTTATAAGTATTTGGATTTAGTTTCCTAATAGTAATGATGATCTTGATGAACCTTATCATCCATATACAAGTTTATAATTTTTTCATATTTCAAACACCTCAGACTTTAAAGTTCTGCAATGATATTACTTTTTCCCCTCCTTAAGTTAAAACTTTAAATACTTTGGACCAGGGCCGTCAAATAATTTGTATGCCATTTTAAATATAGCAAAACTATATTTTAATATGGTAAAATGTTTTTTCTTTTGTAATATCAACCAAAAATTAAATAATTTAAGTTTTTTTTTTCATATAGTGGCAAAACTTGAACGGTATGTATAACAGACTCCGTACAAAGAAAACGAAGAGTAAGGACGTAGCTAGGAATCAATAAATTTCATCAATACAAAAGAGTATGGTCACTACTTCTCAGATCTATTCAGTCCATAACCCTCTTCATGCCTATAATATCCATATCTCACACATATAGTTTACTTTCGTATTTTACTATTTAATATTTTCAAAAAGGTTTTGAAAACCAAGATTTTGGAGCAATGAAATTATGTAAGATAATTAAAAAATATATTTTTTCCAACCACACATTAATGAAAATAATATACCATGATTGGTAGCCCAATCAGGAGGGAAATCGTTTACAAAAATAACTTCCGAATCAAGTGATCTGGAAAAACGAACTGAAAAACATTTAATTAACAAGATTTTAAATCAAAGCTCTCAAATGAAAGTTGACAATCAAATTAGGGGTTTTCGGTAAAAAAAAATCATATATTTTGTTATAAATAACAAGTTCTTGCAAATGTTAAATATTTTGTTGATTCATTTTCTTTAAAACTAAAGATTATTGGAAAATTTTCTTAAATTTTTTCTAAATACTTCCAGTTTATATGATTGAGATGTTTGTTTATGTTCTTAATTAGTGAAACTTGATATATATGAGAGTAGTAAAATTTATGGCCAAATGAATAAGAGCAACTTGAGCATAATAGACTTATAGTTATAGACGCAATAGAAAAACATCTACGGATGAAGTTGGATTTGAAAATGAACCAAAATAGTTAATTGTCATCAAAAATATAGGTTACACGCTAATACATATTTCAAGGACCTGATCAAGTGTAAATGAGGTTTTAACTATACGATTACGCGATTTAACCTAAACCAAGTCCAGTTCTTTTGGTTTTTATAGAAGTTTAAGCTTGATTATCCAAATCTTCAAGATGGGCAGGGATACTGTTAACGTCGAGGTTGAAATCGACAAAATTTGATGCGGTTCAAGTTGGTTATTTGAACTGAAAGCTGGTTTGTGTTGTAAAATTCAGAGTAGTGAGTTTGGGTATGAAAATACCTTCGAGAAATAGTTTAGGTTGATTTCCCCCGTTTTCCCATTTGTTATTCTCAAATCTCACATAATAATTTTTTTTTGCCTAGAAGAGGAACTCATAATTCATTTTATTTTCATTATATACTAATTAGCTTCTGGCAGTTTGTCTAACGAAAGTAGAGATATCATTCCTTATGCATGCAAATCACAAAACTAAAAACAAAAAAAAAATAGTTCTTGGTTCTAAAAAATTCATTAAGAAAAAACTTAGTTAGACAAGTGACTATATTACCTTTTAGGCTCAAACCGTCACAATTTTTGGCATATATGAGGAAAAATGTAAAAACCTTATCGGATAGTTGAAGTTAAGTGAATTGGACAAGTATGGAGACAAAGGATCATCCTCTATGAGCAGCAGTAGCAGAAACCATGTGCTTTTCTTCATGAGTCAGTACATAATCGTAGCTCAATCCATTACCCATTTTTTAACAACCACACATTATTTATTCTCTCTCTCTCTCTCTCTCACTCATGCATACGTAATGGTTTGAAAAATTAAACCAATAGACTCTGGCTAGCTAAGTCCATTATTCCCCACAGTCATCGTTAGGACCTAGCTAGTTATAGTAAGCTACTACGATCATATAACTACTCACTAAACATTGACATTGTCATACATATAGATATGTTATCTTTTGAAAGTTCATTATCCCTTTATCAAACAAATGAACTTACCCATGCATAGAACTATACATATATTTTACATTATCCGTTCCTATTAACGTAGTTACGCATGAGCTGAGTAACGCTTGTGTCTGTGTATAAAATCTTAACTTACAAGAACAATAGTGTATTCAGCTAGAAATGAAAAAAATCATGATCAAAGAAACTATATGAAACTCAAAAACGCATGCAGTTACTTCTACGGATTATAAAGTTTTGTTTAATTGTTCTTTTACTGTATTCCAATACTAAGATCATAAGACCATCGTTATTGATGGTCTTTTAAGAAATCTTAGAGCTAAGGTTTGTTAAGAAAGATTTTTATATAAGATCCGCCAGAAGTATTACTAAATACTACTCCAAGTTTGTTAAACTATAAGAACTAACGACTTATAACTTGTTATATATAATTTTTTCGTATGATTCTCAACAGTAAGTAGGATTTACGCGTCCATGTTTTTTTTTTCCTTTCTCATAAGACGATTATTATATATAGGTCTATAATCATCAATTATATATCTAAACTATTTTCATTTGAATGAAATATATATATATATATATATATATATATATTCTTAGAAAAAATAAAAATAAAATAAAAAAATAAGGAATGGTAACACTTTCGAAGCAATGAGATTATCCAATATTCTTGAAATGGCAAAGCAATTTGTAACAAATTTGAAAACTAAATTAGTAAAATGGACATGAAATTTAGTTTCTCATTTTTAGATTCTTTCGAGTTTAAATTCACTAAGTTTGACAACATGTTTTTCTTCTCCTTGAGGTCTCATCTAGGTGAATCTTCAAAATCGTTTATCACTTCAGTGACTCCAAAAGTATAACTGCTTTTGTTGATGTCAATGGACTAATTGTGTTTATCACTTCATCTATTCCGAAAACGTCACTGTTTTTGTCGATCGATGGACTGATTGTCTCTTTACTTCCATGTTTTTTATCATTTTTTTTCCATGTAATTCCTAATTATTTTCATTATCAATGAAAAAAAAGCAATAATCGCATTTTCTCGCAACGCAATATACACAACTATTCGTCTACGTGAATGCATTCTAGACGGCACACATTCCCAAACCAGACATATAATTAATATAAAAAAATAAGTATGCACAACTATATATAAACCACCCAACTTCCAAATCAAAGTGGAAAACACAAAGATCCCCACAAAATCCATTAATGTCTTGTGACTCACTCACACCAAACAGAAATAGTAGTTCACTATACACCTAACAAGTTATATATTTATATATATAAACTATGCCCAACAAGGTCACTGACATGCACTTCCACCAAGAACAAGAAGAGGGCAAAACATACTCAAAAACACCGAGAGGACACTTCGTAGTTTACGTTGGTACGTACAAGAATTTGGAGAGATTTGTAATCCCAACAAGGTTTCTGAAGAACCCTTCTTTCCAAAAGCTTCTAGATAAGTCGGCTGAGGAGTTTGGTTACGGGGAAGCTTACCGGAACAAGATTGTCTTGCCATGTGATGTCTCTAGTTTCCGAAGTCTCGTCATGTTCCTGACTTGCCACGACAAGAGACATTAACCACATATGCATGAACCCAACCCACTACTATGTCTCGTCTGAATGATAAAATGTGGTTATATATATATATATCTCTCTCTTAATTATTGTATGTGTTAATTATGATTTGGATCTTATATTGTACTATATATTCTAACTTGATTCAACTACGAGTGTAAGATCTTTTCATTAATTTTAAGTTGAATATTGTTTCATTGTGCTTTTGCCTTTTAACTACGAGTGTTAAGTTTTACTTTAAAATAAAAATAAAATAGAGCTACTTATGATATTATATATATATAAACCTCATATGACATTATATATATAAATATATATAAATAATTGAACCACTAAATAAACGTCTTGTATGTTTTGGGTTTCTAACCAGGTTCTCAAAAGTTCTTATTTGAGAATTTTCTTTCTTACTTTTACTATTTTTTAATATAATTTAACAAATGTATATGCTTTAAATACTCAGGAATTGAGCTGCTTTAGTATGATGACAAGTGGTTTAAGAGTTTTTAAGAGCAATTTTATGGTAAGAGATTCTAGTAAGTCTTTTGTTAATATTTTAAATAAAATTTTAAAATTTTATTGTGTATTTAAAATTTAAATTATGTATTAGGGCATCCTAAGTTTATCAAGCCCAAGGGATTAAATTTTTATCCGCTGGACAATATTTTCCTGCAAGTATGTAATCCAAATTACTTTTGTATTATTATTGTTTTTTTTTTTTAACTGTCTTTCTTATCTCCTTTTGATCTATTGAGTATGCAAGTTTTAATGATTTCTGTGTTTTTTTTTGTTTAGCAACAATTGTGAGTAGTAATTAGGGTTCTTGAGGATGGTTGGTTAGATTAGGTGTGGAATCCTTAGTCTCTAGGTGGTTAAGTGTAACACTACAAGAAAACATGCCACTTTCCGACGACGATATTGGTCGGAATTTCGTCAGAAATGGCATATTATGACAAGTTTTCGACAAAATCAAATTCGTCGAAATTCTTTGGTCGGAAATTAATATTCCTCGGAAATTGGTCAGAAATTAATTTTCAACAAAATTCCGACGATATTTTTTCTATAATTTTGGACAATATTCCTACTAATTTCCGACAATATTCCTACTAATTTCCGACGAAAATTCTCAGTGTTCACAAATTTGTGAAATTTTTTATAACTAAATTAAATTAATTTTTAAAACCATTTCCAACAAAATTCCGACGATATTTTTTTATAATTAAAAAAAATCAAGATTACTAAAGTGAAATGAAATCAAAATTAAAGTTAAAATTAAGACTTAAATAATAATTATTCATTGTGTTAAAACATACATATATTAAATTTTTAAAATAAATTAAAATATACAAATATGAAAATTATGAATTAAAAATATAAAGGAAGATGTAAACTCTTAAAAATGGATAATGATTCTCAAAATAGAGAGAAGAAGATGAAATGAGAAATTGAGTTTGTTGTATTTTGAATTGTGAAATGGATTAAATCCCGTTTGGATTAGTGTTCTTAATGCTAATTTATGTATGACCATTTAGAGTTAGAACTCATACATTTCCACACATACCAATTGTTTGATGAAATGCTTGAACAAACTAGTATTGCAGTGACAAGTTAGTACTCAAGATAATTGATAGTAAAAGTCCTAGTATCAATTGTAGGCCAAACCTGTAACAACCCGCCCCATGGGATCCACGCCACAAGCGCTGCAGCGCATCGACCCTAACCTCTCTCTTGTGGGCCCAGTATAGCACGCAGGCCTTATGGCCCACAAAATAGGTTATTGGTGCGTTTGCTGTTCCTCGAACCCAATACCTCACTTTTTAACAACCTTCCCATTGGTTATTGGTGCGCTGCAGCGCCAGCCGTTGCTGGGTTATGGCAAGGGGTCCCACGGGACGGATTGTTACAAACCCAAATTGGTTAATATTTTTTTCTTCCTAAATACTCTTGTAAATCATGCATTATCTCCGATGAACGTATATTATCAGAGTAACGGTCGTACCAAGGCGGCATATAGATTCAAAAATAATAGTACACTTGTTGGTAGTAATTTCCTAGTTTTGGTAGTTGTTTTCTAGCTATATCATTTTATTTTATATTATGGAGGTATATATCTTTTTATGAACACATATCATTTATAATTATATAGATATATTCCTAATCATAAGTATTTGATTTTTTTTGACTTCCTACCAAGTAACGGTTAAAGTTCTTATTATCGACATATCATTTCAAAGTACAAATGATAAATGTCTAATTATGAATATATATTTTTGTTTTCCTTAATTGTTCTAAATATTTTTCTTTCCACAATCTTATAAGTATAGATGCATATAAATACTAACGTAGAAATCCAAAAAATAGAAGTTATCTCACTTCAATTTTCGCTTTCAGCAATTGTCAAAATGTCATTGCCTTTGATAATCCTTTTCGTCTTTATATCTTCTATCATGATTAACCATCTTCAAGCGACCAGTCCTAAAACATAGTGTGTAGCAAAAATGACCGCTACGACTGCGCAATTACAAGAAAATATTATCTTGGGACGTAAAGGAGTTGATTGTACACCAATCCGACATGATGAATACTGTTTTAATCCCTATACCTTTTTAAATCATGCTTCTTTTGTGATGAACGCATATTATCAAAGCCATAACCGTACTCAAGAAGTTTGCAGTTTTAAAAATACTGGCATATTTACTACTACAGATCCTAGTTTTGACACTTGTAAGTATGGTTCTAAAAAATATTCAAGTGGTCTTAATAATTGACATGCAAGTGAAATGCTTGAATGAATAAAATTATGGTTTGGAAGGTGTTTTTTTTTTTTATTTTTTTTTTAAATCAACTATACAATTAAATAACCATAAATTAGACATGTGTTTTTTTCTAATAGCTAATTGAGAAACCGCACATTACTATGTTTCTATGTGGCTACTTTGAAAATCTATGGGTCTTTCAAAAACCTTGGGATTACAAATCTCTCCAACTTCTTGTACGTACCAATGCAACGTAAACTTCTCAACTTCTTGTTCTTAAGAATGATTTGCTCTCTTCTTGTTCTTGATGGAAGTGTATGTCATGAGTGACCTTAGCTTGTTTGGCATAGTCATATATATAGCTTGTTAGTTATATGGTGAACTACTATTTTTGTTGGGTGTGAGTGTGTCACAGCAAAATTAACACTGGTACCATTTATAAAGGATACTTAAGCATATGTATTATATTTTGTCGCTCAAATATAAATAGTAAAAGCTATATACATAAATTTTCAACGTAGCCGCATAGAAACATAGTAATGTGAGGTTTCTCAATTAGCTATTAAAAATACATGTCTAATTTGTGGTCATTTAATTGTATAGTTGATAAAAAAAATAAAAATAAGAACACCTTCCAAACCATAATTTTATTCATCCAACCATTACACAGGCAATATCAATTATTAAGACCATTTGAAAATATTTCTAAGAACCATACTTACAAGTACCAAAACTAGGATCTCTAATAGCAATTGTGCCAGTATTTTTAAAACTACAAGCTTTTTGGCTACGATTATGGCTTTGATAATATGCGTTCATCACAAATGAAGCATGATTTAAAAGAGTATACGGAGTAAAACAGTATCCACCAGGTCGGATTGGCCTACAATCAACTGCTTTACATCCCAAAATAAGATTTTCTTGTAATTGTGCAGTCGTCGCGGTCGTTTTTGCTACACACCATGTTTTATGACTGGCCGCTTGAAGATGGTTAATCATAATCAAAGATAAAAAGACGAAAAGGATTGTCAAAGGCAATGACATTTTGACCATTGTTGAAAAGGATAATTTGAAGTGAGACAACTTTTAGTTTTTGGATTTCTATGTTAGTATGTATATGCATCCATATTTATAGGATTGTGGAGACACAAAGATTTAGAACAATTAAGGAAAATAAAATAATATATATTCATAATTAGAAATTTATGTTGATACTTTGAAATTATATGTCTTTAAGAACTTTAACCATTTGGTAGGAAGTCAAAGATTTTAATATTTATAATTAAGAATATATCTTTGTAATTTAATTGATATCTCTATAATTGTGAATTAAATGTGTTTATAAACAGAAATATTTCTTCACGATTTTAAAATGATATGGCTATAAAAACAATTGATAGTAAGATCAAAGATTTAACCATATATAGCAAAACGTAAATTCATCTTTATTATTTAATTATAATATTTATGTGTATATCTATATATGTGCGTGTGTGTGTATTTTTATTTTATTCCATACAAGGCTCATTTAACATTAAACTGTTGAGATAATAATAACAATAAGATGTATTATCAATAGATAAAAGTGATAAAACTTGTATGGGGCTAAACAGCTAATGCAAGGAAAAGTATATAATTGGAATACTTTTAACATCATACATGACTCGTGAGAGATTTATCTTTGTGCTTGTGACCTCCTCTACGGTTTTAAAAGGTTTTTAAATTAGTTTTAAAAGGTTTTTCAAAGGTTTTCAAGGTACTTATACAGTATTATATTTACACACATATAAATGTAATTTTTTATATTTATATAAGCTTACACATGTATTTAGATAAAATTCAAAACTTTGATGAATTATTTTTTTATAAAATTTGAAAGAAGAGGTAGTTTAAAAAAATTTGTATTTGTAAAGTGGAATTTTGAAATAATAAAAATGTAAGTGTTGACAAAATTAAATTAAATAATAAAGATGAATTTATGTTTTGCTATATATGGTTAAATCTTTGATCTTATTACGATTACGATTACGATTACGATTAATGCTTAAATCATCCAAAGATGATAACATCCCCAGGGATGAAATAGTTTGGGTCAATATACGTTTATAACTTCTTAATCATGTATAACTTTGTAAAAGATAATATTAATATCGAAAAATTATTATTAGTATTTATTGTTCCAGTTGTCAAATATAATACAAAATATTCAAGCTATATTTTTCTTCCTTGAACTATACAAGTTGTACATTAATTATCTATACATCTAACTATTATTCTTTACACCAATTTAAGATTTGAAGAGCCTTGTATGAAATAAAGTTCTACAGCGATGATACCATCATATTTCAGTAACAAAACATATAATACAACTACCAGAATGGCCTGTGACTCACTCACACCCTACAATAATAGTAGTTAACTATATAATTAAACGACGTCATTTTAAGACTTTGTGATTCTTTGTCATTTTGGTCTGTGTTAGTAAACAACGTCATTTTAAGACTTTGTGATTCTTTGTCATTGCCGACACCTCTGAATCATCGCCGTTAAACGGTACAGTAACGTCGTTTCGAGAGATATTGATTTTGGCTAATTTTAAATAGTTGATGTTGAGAATTTGAAAATTCCTTGGATTAAGGTTAGTTTTCGCATGGTGTTAAACTTTGGGTATGAAAACATTGCAAGAGAATAGTCTGGGTTGATTTTAGCTATTTCTCAACATTTAATGCTAGTTTTTGTTTTGAATAATCTATATTAACATTTGTGGAGCAAGTTAGGAAATAAATCCTGGGTTTCAACAGTATTTACAAAAATTGCCATTGATATTAATTGATTTTGAAAATAAAATCATAAAAACAATACTTAAAATCTCCTAAAATCTCTCTATAATATTTTTAATATTCCTAAAATAATATGGCTATAAAATCACAAAACAAAATTGATTCCTACAATCTCTCTTAAATTTATTGAATATTCCTAAACCAATTTTTTGTTTTAAAAAGTAATTGGGAAGGACAACTTGAAGCCAAACACCCCCCAATTTTAAAAAAAAAAATTCATGAAAATAAAATCAGTTGCCAAACAGAATTAATGACAGCAAAACAAAAAACAAAAACAAAAACAATCTATATTTATGGAAATCATAATAATCTTTTACCATAAAAAGTGGACAATTAAATTCAAAATTAAATATATGTAAACATATCTATTTTGAATATACATAAACATATTTAGTATTAATTTAATATTTTAATATAATTTCGAAATTAATAATTTATATATAATGAAATCTAATAAAACAAAATCATCATAAATCTAAATAAACAAAGATAACATTTTTTTTGAAAAATAAAAAGATAAAAAATATGTTAGCATATGAAATAATCAACTAATCAAATTCTATATAGTATATATACATAACTGATCA